AAACCAGTTGAAATTCTGCAGTACTCCTGTCATTAATAACCATATAACAATATACCTATAGTATACCTTCTTAGCATTCCTACCTAAAGAGTTATAAGGTTAAATGTAGGTAGATAAGTTAAAGGTAGTTGTATCCCATCAGGACATCACACGGTAAACACCAGATGACACAAAATGCCACCATGCGGATGACGATCACCCGTGCAGAGGTCCCGGAAACCCCATTCAACCGTTAAGCCATATTTAGGGCTCGGCTATATTTAGGGCCTCCGGCAAAAGCCAGGGTGTCATCAAAATATGGAAACATCGCATCCCATGTGGGGACGACACTGAACCTATAACACAATGGGATATTTAGCGTTAAAGTAACTCTGAAGTATTTTTTAATCACATAATGTCACACCAATGTAGATTTGGACAGTTTAATTTCTTTTAAATTAAATTATTTAAAATAATATTTAAAATGCATCACATATTTAATGGCTAGTATAATAATATTGTCTATTTCACACCTTCGTATTTACCTAAATAGGAAGAGTTAATTTGCAACTTTAATTAAAATAATTCCAATTTATTCTGTAACCATACCTTCTGACATATGAAGCCTGTTATAAAAACTGTAACAACCTTTAAAATGTTAAAATCGTGTAGAATAACATGAGTTAAATCTTCAGCATTTCAAATCGCATTGAATCTTCAGCTTATTCTATAAATTATTCTATACAGATCCTAGTGTACAATGCCGTCAGAAAGATTTGTAATCTAATGTCAAACGTTTAAAACTTGTGACCTTGTAACCCCACTGATATTTGAAAATCCCACAACACTTTAGTCAAAGCAAAGCAGTAGATGGAGTCATTTCCCTGCGTCATTTCAAAATTAATATAAAGGGAGGCAATATTACTAATATTCAAGGGAATATAACTCCAGAGAAAGTCTTTTTTTTTTTAAACTGATTGTTGCAATAAATAAAAGAAATGCAGATGAAGTTGACCACCAAAATGACCGTATGACAATATTGTTTGTTATTTTGAAGCCCCACCCTGGTTGTTGCCGGATGCTCTAATATAACCTAGTGGTTGAACAGGGTTTCTGGGACCTCTCCACGGGTGATCCTCATCTGAATGGGGGCACTTTGTGTCACCGGGCATTTGTTGTCACTCATTGTGAAGTCCTAGTGGGTAAAAAGTTAGTCAGTAAGATTTTTTTCCACTTTTCTTTTTAATTGCCTCTTGGCAGCACTTGACTCTGCTTGAAACTGACTGGGCTTCTGTCTGACTAAAAACCTGTCCAGTTAGATTCCGTTTTTTCCTTAATAAAAAATTTTTTTCTGAACAGAGACATGGCACTGCCATTAAAACTTTTGTGATGTGGCTTGATGTAACTTGTTCATGTTGATATCTTGCTTCACAACTTTACCCCATTTGTGACACATTTTGATGATCAAAGGAACTAGAGACATCTTTCCTTCCTCCCTCAGCCTCTGTGGACATTTCCTCCCCTGCCATGATTGTCTGCTCCTCCTGAAAGTGTTCAGTATTTTCACATCAATTTCTCTGAAGCAAGATTTTGCATTCTGGTCTGACTACCACATGTGTGACTGCATCTTCTGCTGCCATTGTGATTGTGAGTTCTCTTGAGATGATCATTTTCTCCATCCTACTGATCATGTAATAAGATGTTGAATTTTTTTATCTGTGTTATATGGGTTATACGGTTAATTTTATTTTATTTATGAAAAGCTGGAAAAAGAATTTACTTGATTAATTTCTATTTAATGTTTAAACCACAGAGCTAGATCATGGAGCGGTGTGTCAGAGTGGTCAACCATTAGATCAGTGCAAGGTTCCACACACAGTCTGTACCTCCTACCCAGCATCCAGCACAAATAAATGTCTCTGTGCTAGTGGCTTTTACTGGGCAAACAGCAGTTCTTGCCTTCCCCGTAAGTATCCATGGTAACTGTGGTTTGGTGTGAGGCAGACTTTAGTAACTCCACTCTCAGAATCACATGCAAGACATTACATGACACCTTTACATATCTATTTTTAAATCATCTCATGTTGTCTTAATTTTTTACAAAAAGAACTTTCCTGTTATACATGGAAGAGTGACTGTACAACATATTGTGAAATCAAGTATGGATGCAGATGCATACAGTTAACAGACTTGTAGATTGAGACGTGTACAATGTCTTGATGCCATATCTGTGTAATAATGAGTGCCTGTGAGAGAGAGTTAGAGAGAGAGGTGATGATGATAATGATGATGATTGATTACCTAATTGACAGGTTTTTCTGTTCATTTTGTGAAATAGTTCCAACAATATACATCAGTTCTTGTGCTGACACTTTTCCATGCCCTAACAAAAAGTTATGAAGAGTCTTCCATGTATTTCTGTTGTCACAGTATGTTCTCATTCCAGTATATCTTTTATCATGTTTCAGAATAATGTGACCGGATATTAAGGATAAGTTGCCTTTGTGTCTTAGCCTAATTTCAAGCATTTTGATGGTTTGTTTTAATTACCTAAGATATACTTCTGTATAACCACATTTCTAGGGCTTCAACAAACATTTATTGCTATATTACTAATCGTCACTGATTCACAGTTACATCTGGCAGTGATTTGTTGCGTAAGTTGTTCTTTACCTCTATGATCGTCTTCTCTCGGATGTCATTCACATACCCGTGTACTTGAATTTATGGTAGTGATGATGTACATACAAATTCAGATAGGTAATTAGTAATTTACTCATTTTATTACTGATGTCATTATTATTATTGTATTATAATTATGTTGTATTTTTGTTATTTACTGACAATGATGAGAATGTTAACCTTTCCTGTGGCAACATTAAGATGTGAATCATAGACCATTTCACAATCACTAAAACAGAAGTTTTGAACTTTTAAACTATAATGTAATACGAAGATTGTCAGGAGCAACTGAAATGCATTCGCCTTATTAATCACCTGTTTTGTTTGGAGCGAGAAATAAGAGACGGTATAGTTTCTGAAAGACCAGCATGATTACAGACACAGGATATCAAGGGCATGCTGGGAGGTACAGAATAGTGAACCTTCACACTTATTTTGAGGCGATGTATTGAGTATTCATATGGCAGTTATATAATTGTATTATAGATTATCAGGTATCATCACTCTAGTGATCATCAGTTGTAATGAGTTTTCAGTGCCCTAATCAAATCTATATATAGTGCATTAAATGTAGATTCTGAAACATTAAAACTGATTATTATAAAACATCATGTTACTAACTCAGTGAAGTTTCTTGTTGTAGACTTATCATCTATCTATCTATCTATTGTCTTCTTCACTTTTACCGGGTTGCAGCCCAGTGTCATGGTTTAAAATATTTGTTTTGTGCCTCTGAGTGACAGTTTTCTGGATCTTCTGACCGTATTCAGCTACTCCATCTATCAATTGTTTCCTGGGTCTTCCTCTGGCCTTTCTTCCCGATGTTCTACTGTAAAAGGCCTTATAGGCAATCTGATCCGGTTGCATTCTAACTAAATGGCCAAACCACTTCATTCTCTGTCTTTCAATATGTTTCATGCATGCTCTTGTTCCAACTTTGTCTCTAATGCTGACGTTTGTTACCCTGTCTCTTCGTGTATTGTTGGTGACTCTTCGGAGACATCGCATTTCACACGTAGTTATTTTTTGCATATGTGATTTGTTCATTGTCCACGTTTGACACTGATAACATAACGTAGGGATGAAAATGCTGTTGATCATCTGTTGTTTGGCTGGTAACGAGATCATTGGATGACGAAGAAGTGGGGCCAGTTGGTAGTTGACTGCATTGGCTTTTTGAACTCTAGCCTGTATTTCTTTATCTAGTCTTCCATCTTCTGTAAATTTGCATCCTAAGTACTTGAATTCTTGAACTTGTTCTAATTGTATGTCATTGATCTTTATGTTTACATTACTGTGTTTCTTTCCTATGGTCATTACTTCAGTTTTTGAGGTGTTTATTTTCATGTCAAATTTTGTACAGTTAGTGAGCAATGAATCAACATGTTGTTGTAGTTTTTGTTCTTCTTCTTGTAACAAACATTGGTCATCTGCAAAGAGTAGTTCATTTATAATATCTGTGTTTTGGTTTGACTCCTGTGCAATTTTATCCATATATGTGATGAAGAGTAGAGGTGATAGGACACATCCTTGTCGTACTCCTGATGTAATGGGGAACCAGTCTGTCATTCCTTCCGTTGTTCTTACAGTGCTCTGGCTATTTTGATAGAGAGCCATTATGTTTCCCAATAATTGACCCGGTACACCATATTCTTCAAGAATGTTCCATAGTTTATTTCTGTTAACCCTGTCAAAAGCCTTCTCTTGATCAATGAATATAAGATTCTGGTGTTTATTATATTCGATTGTCTGTTCACAAATTTGCTGAAGAGTAAATATTGCATCAGTGCAGCTCTTTCTTTTTCTAAACCCAAACTGTTTGTTACTTAATTGAGGTTCTAATATCACCCTCGCTCTTCGTTCTAATATTTTTGCAAACATCTTTCCTACATGGCTTTGTAAAGAGATACCTCTGTATGTTTCACAGTCTCGTTTATCACCTTTCTTCTTCCATATGGGAACTATAATTGCTCTCTGCCAGTCAACGGGAACTTTCATTTCCTCCCAGGCCATATTGAATATTCTTGTCAGCCATTTTAATGCTGTTGCCTTGCATGCAAGTATTGTGTCTGTTGAAATACCATCCGTTCCGGCCGCTTTGTTTCTTTTGCTTTGCTCTAGGATCTTTTCAACTTCAGATTCTAAATTAGATTCTTGTTCTTGTCCAAATTTTATTTTATTAAACACAGGTTCTTGTGGTCCACTATTCAGTAATTCAGAAAAATATTTTTGCCATCTTCTTTTAACATCTTGGGATTTGGTGAGTGGTTTTTTACCCTTGCTGTTTATCATAACAGCTCATATTTACCTAATTGTTTTATTTTCTTTTTCTTATACAGAGAGCAACTTAAACATAGTTGTAAGAACTACTGCCAGAGAGACGAGGAGCATCGTCTTTAGCTGGACTGACGTATCTCAAAGAAGTGATGTGAATTACACAATCAGCTGGGATGTTTCAAATACAATGGTTGCTACCAGAAGTGGAGTTACAGTTGTTGGCCTTGTGCCTGGAACATCTTACAGTTTTACTGTTGTCACAAGTCTGCCAGCTGATGGAAACTATCCGTTGATACAAGTTCATCAAACACCAGTCACAGCTTGGACTCGTAAGTTTGTTATCGTAACCTTTGAAATATATATCCTGTAAGTTGGCCTTGAGTTTGACAAGTTTTATTTATTATGACAACTATATGTAGTTTTGCTTTATGTTTCATTTGATAGCTGATGTGTATTCAGAACAGTGTTTTCCTGTTGTAAATTTAAACAATCTGAATCTGGACACAAACATTATACGTTGATTTACTTCTAGCACCTGACCAGACATAGTGAAATATGCCAGGCAAAAAATTGTGCAATGTGTTGTTTGTATCTGCATTATTTAAAGTTGATTCATAGCTTGCTACAGTTTGATCACACTTTTAACTTGTTAATGTTCAAATATTTTTTGTCATTTTCTGAGCACAATTTAATCATCTGTGGTTTATTTTTTGTCTGATCTGACAGGTCCAGACACACCAGGTCCAGTGAATGGGCCACGGCGGATAGATAACTCAACTTATGAAGTTACATTCGGCCGGTCAACTGGAAGTGTGTCACAGTACACAATGACTGTCAGAAGTGGGTCTGTTGAAGAAACACAAAGCAGCACTTCTATATCGATGCGCTTCACAAAACTCCGGCCAGCTACAACCTACAGCTACAGCCTGTGGTCTTTTAATGGGAATTCAGACACAAGTGTCCCAGTAAATGGCAGTTTTACTACAGACCCTGAGGGTAAAGATTTTTCATTTTTATTGTTTAGGAATCCAGTAATGTGATACAACCAAATTGTTTGTTTAGAAGGGTGGATATTTATTGTACATTTTAATGACAATACCTTGCTTATTTGTGCACATATGTTCATGTTAGTGAATAGTGCAGAGATTTGTTTGTTCTGTCACACATCGTGCAAATAACGCCCACTAATATGATCTCTTTTACCTTTCTGTTTGCCCGGCTCTCTAGCGTACTTGGCTAAACGGATGCGTGGTGACAGGGTGACGAACTCCTTGTGGTCTGAGTTCACTCACGGGAGTAGGCAGAAAACCCATATTTCTCCCAGATTTACGGTATTTTACAATGGAATCAAGGTTGAAAGATTGCGATATCCATAATACCGAGCCTAAGGGTTAACAACTCATGGCTTCTGGATACTAAAAAAAAAAAAAAAAACCTTTCTGTTTGGTTATATTCATGTTACAATTGTCTCATTAGCTATTTATGACTATCATTAGCAGCCTTCTTTGAGCAGGAAGCCTCCAACGACACAACAGTCAGTTCCTTTCATTGGGTTCTTATTTCTTTTGTTTGTTGAAGTAGCCTTCTTTTACTGATAAGAAATTTTACAATGTATATCCATGTGTTAGACACAGTGTGACAGTTAAATATTTAGACTGATTTTATTATTATGACAAAAACATAAAAGAAATCCATGAAGCAGAGCATGTCATCCAAAAGGCATCTATGATCAGGCAAAACTGTAATGCCTCCTGACAAGCAGACGACAGGCTACCCGCCATTTTGTTTAGTTAGTGAAAGTCCCACCATTATGTATGCAGCATGGAGCCCAGGATTAAAATTAATTGTGTTTCACCTCAGACTGTGCTTTTAAGACAATTGAATTCATGAGACAAGTTTATAAAGAATCAGTGTATCTTCTGCATGAGATGGTAGTAGCGATTTGAAAATAGTGTAGAAAAGAATAGACATGAAGCTGTGACAGGACATGCATCTTGTGTTTGTAATGATAAAATTATTGCCAGAGTCAGAGAACAGATATATGAAGATCAATGTCTGACTGTGAGGATGATGGCCGATGAATTTGATGTTGAATATGTCTGGGCAGCATTATGATTTTACCAAATTGTAGATGAATGGTGCCTATTTAAATGACATACTTTGCTTCCTGGTTGTTGCCCAATTAAATCAGTGTCATTATGTAATTGTGACTTGGTTTAGAAACCTGTTTGTCCCTTCATTCCAGGATGGGATCTCACTTGTACACATCTTTCCATAGTTGCTGTTACTATTTGCCAGCTGTCAGTAGTGAATGCCTCTTTTTGAATTACAATCTTCACCAAGGTACAAGCTTGAACATCTTTGTGTAGATATCCAGCTGTTGCCCATGCAACTGCTCACTAATCAACATCACTGACAGATTCAAAGGAATGACAGTAGCCATTACATTTTGGTATCTGAAACATAACAGAAGTTGTTAAAATATTGTTGAGATCAACACCAGACTTCTATAGAGACTGTCTATGAATTTCCCCTCAAGATTGACTTCTGAAGTTGTCGTTGTTGTTTTTCTTGTATGGGTATCCTAGAAGGCAGTAAGGATTCAGAATCAAGAGTTTAGCTTCTCTTGGGCTACTGGTCAAGATTGATGAGCTCCATTATCACAATACAACTTGATATTTGAAAGTGCCAGTGACAGTGTGCCTTCTCCTGTTGGTAAAGACAGTTCACCAGTTCATGTACAATCACAATAAAGACCCTGAGATGGATTTGGTTGTCAAAGACTATCTTTGCTCACATTGCCTTATTGGTATTTATGAGTATTGTGAGCTTATTTCTGCTGCAGCTTTCAGATATGATAGTCTTTTTGAAAACTTTGTGTTACTTTGGAGCACATATTAATCCTGTGACTTTTAACAGTGATCTGATCTGATGCACGTATATTCATCACTACCATCATTAACTTGTGCCGTTTATGTGCCACATTGGACTCATTCAATTCTGCATTCTCTTCTGTCCTGTACAGTTCGTGTCTATATATGGAATCTAATTTTGGGACTTCTGGCGTGTCTAGTTAACTTTTATCAGGCTTACATTCTGAGTTCAGTTGTTTCCCATTTCTTTTAATATTTTGCGATTATTTTAGCTTCATTCAGAATATTGCCATCTTATTTACAGAGTTGGTACCAGTAGGTGTCCAGTCTTTTCTCTTTTTTTTTTATTTGCTTTTCTTGAACCCAGCCCATTTAATTTTCATTAGTTTTGTGAGGCATTCATTTTCAGATACATGCAATTTCTTGTCATGTCTTTGGTGATGGTTATACTTTCACTGTCAAATGTTGCACTTGAAATAACATTAGAAGTCAAATGTATTACTTGGCTTCAAAACTATAATTTGGAGTTGTTGGCACAATGTAAAAGACAAATTTAACTAAGAAAGTAGGACTGGTCAGTTTCCCAAGAATGGAGTTACAAGTCACAAAATGAACAATGTGGCAAGAAAACCTTCCTTAACATACACAGAATGGGTCCCCTCCTCTCGCTCCCTTCCTCCTATGTTTAATGTTTTTTCTGTTATATTTTTGCATCTCCAGTTTTAGTTCTAAAGTGTTTGTCTTTCTTTTTCTGCTCTCGCTGTTATAGCATGCACAGATTCTTATTTATGTGTTATGTTTGAGAAAGTGTGTCATCAAAAGGTGTAGTGAAAACTAAGATCACTTGATCACTGCAAGTCTGGATTCAAAGCAAACAGCCACACATGATTTGACATGTTGAGACTTGTGATATTCAGCGGTACACGTGAGCATGTCTACCGCCAGTGCTGTTTAGTGCTAAATATATGTGGAATACAGTTGTTGTACTGATCATCTATTACTGCAACTTCAGCTAACAGTTGTTCAGATATAGTGTTTAGAATGTCTGTCTTGATCAGTCTGTGTGTCCACACAGCTTTCACTCTTGAAGCCAACAGATACATTATTTTGCTGCCTTAAGTTCCAACATCTGTCCCTGATGTTTTTGTGACTTAGTATGCTAGCGTGGATTTTTGTCGTGGTATGGGACGTCGCAGGTCGACCCAGCCTAAAATGGGTACCAGGATGGGCTGTCCTGGGAAAGTAAAGACAGCCGGCGTAATGCTGACCACATTATCCAGCGAGTGCTGATGGTCTGTAAAAATATGGGACGCTCTGCCCATATGCCCGATGCGCCGAAAGGCGTGAAAAGGGATCTTTACTTTTTACTTATGCTAGAATGTCTCCTGAACATGCTATGCAATGTTATTATCTTATGTGGACAATATTAGCTCGATCAACAATAGTGTCTACTCTATAGGTAATTAATAAAAGCTGTAAAAGAGTTTGTTCCGTGGACGTTTCAAATTGAGTAGCATACATCTAGGGGTAATCATTGTATTGCTGCTGGGGATGTCACCCTTATATGTGTATGCCAGATTGTCCAGATTATAGTTTATTTTTGCTTTAACATTTTACCCATGTGTTCTAGTACCTTGAATGATTACAATTCTTTAAGAAGTTGCAATAAATAATTAGCTCTGACCTGTCAACCTGTGCCAGTGACATCCTGGGAAATATCAGTGTAGATTACTTTAAACACCCAGCTTATGTTGGACAGAGAATGTGGATGTTATCTTTAATGTTGAGTTGTTTCTAAGATGATGTATGTTAAATATTATCTGGGGATAGCTCATATATTTCTACATAAGGAAGTGAATACAAACACAGTTATGTATAAATATGAGGATAAATACAATGTGTGCACTGACAATTGCAGCGTCTGGTCCAGTCGATGGATTGAGTCCAGCTGGAGTGCAGTCACACACGGCAAATGTAACATGGCAGACCCCACAGGATCCACGTGGAAACATCACAGGCTACTTGGTTCAGGTGGCTTTACAAGACAGTACAGAGTGTTTTTTCTTCCAGATCCCTTGTCATGGTTGTGCTCAAGCCGTAAGTGTGTTTTGTGTTTTGTTGTTGTTGTAATGTCATCATTATCATCACCATCAATTTTCACTTCTGCCGTTAAGCGTTGGGTGAAGGAACAGTTTGCGATCCATTGCTTGATGGGCAGCAGTGGCTGTTGTCATTTTGTGTCGATGTAGAAGCTCTTTAATGTCATCAAACCATGTTCTCCTAGGGCGGCCTCTTGCTTTCACTTCAAATCATTTGATATGTAGCACCTGCCTTGGTAGTTGTTCTGGCTGCATTCTTTCTAAATGGCCAAACCATTTGATCTTCTGTTTCTCAATGAATTTGCTGCATGGCATTGTTCCTACAGTCTGTCTGATAATATCATTTCTTACTTTGTCTCGGATGGTTAAGTTGGCGGCTTTTCTCAGGCATCTCATTTCACAGGTGTTAATTTTACATAGGCTAGCCTTTGATAATGCCCAAGTCTGGCACTGGTAGCACAGTGTTGGTATGATTATGCTGTTTATAATCTGTTTCTTGGCACTCATGCTTATGTTTGTAATGTCAAAGGCTACAAATATGTCGTTAATATTCTTGCTTTCAGAGTAGTCACTTAATTTGTGGACACATTGTAAAATTGCAGTTTTTTTCACTGTGCTTTATAAACATTAAATGTGCCATTAACACGTTTACTAAACATACATGTTCTGGTAATCTGGTAATCCTAGTTTCAGCTTCATAGCAAACGGGGCACCCCATAGTTGCTCCGCTCCTGTGCCAACGAAAAACACACGTTGCTCACAGTGTCACACCATGCACTCAACGCAGAAGCTGGGCGACGAAACTATATCCTTCCAGTCTACAAATGGAGCAAAAATGCAACGGCCACCTTCTGGCAAGAAAAAAAAAAGGTGGCCATGCCTAGCGTCCATTTGGACCTGATATTGAGTCTTAGCTTTGTAATTATGTTTTCAATTCCTTGTTTATATCTGTTTGCTCCTCTGCAGCAATTTTCAATGTGTTCATTTAAATAATCTATTTATTGATTCTGTCAAATGGACATCAATTAACATCTAAAGTGCTTTAAAATTGATGCTAAGAATTTCTACCATTGTTTTTATTCTTTTCTTATCCTTTGTCCTGGTTTATATGATGTTTTAATAGAGAGGATGTTGCAGTAAGTATGGTACGTTAAAAAAGCAGTGTTCTTCCAAATCTGTTACTCTTAAACATAGACCTTTATAACGGTGTGTTTTCTGTGCAGGCGACTTATGTGTACTCGTTCAAGCTTATTCATGTTCAAATTCTTTTGATTCTGTTTCTGTCTATAATGTATAGTTAAATGCATCATAGCTCTTACCTTTCCAATCTACGTGCCAACTGCACGTTTGAATGTTCTGCGTATCTGGTAACTGCTAAGAATATTCCTAAAGCTCTGAGAATGCAAAAACATAACGAGCTACTCGGCTGTCGTTTAAAATACCTCTTTGACTTTTTTACCCTTACATTGCAAAGCATTTTGCTGCAAGGATTTTCCTCCATTTCAGATGGTTTATTTTGAGGGTTTTCTCATTTCTTTGAGAGAGACTTCTTGCATTAGAATGAAAAAAAAAACAACTTGTTTTTAAGCTATGTTGTAAAAACTTGATGGATGACACGTTGCTAAAATCCTCATCAAGTAAGATGTAAATAAGTCTGCAACATGGAAAATCACTTTTTGCCACACCAGCTTGGATAAAATTGAAAAAAAAATAACCCATGGTGATTAAATTTGCTGATCTGTTGATTAACTACATTCAAGCCATGCCCTATTTTTTTAATGAATAATAATTCAAGATACTTATCGTTTGAACATGTTTATTTTTGTTCTAGCCAACTAATGTAAGTGCTCCCAGCTGTACCCTGAGAAGTGCTAATATCTCTGGTAGTGGCAACGTTTATAACTTGGAGCTTTTGAACCTGAAACCCTATCGTAATTATACAGTGAAAGTTCAAGCTGTGAATGAAAGAGGACTTGGAGAATCAACATCTTTGACATTTCAAACACAAATATCAGGTACTGCTATTTTCATTGTATGTATTTTAGTATTTCTAGTAAGGTGTAAGATTTAATGAAATTGTTGCTCATCATGTCCATAAAATATGAAGTCAGTGACACAAATTTACATTTCTGACTGGGATCACTTGTTGCTTTGCAGTAAAAGACTTTAATTTCATCAGTATATCATCATGTGCCATGTTGATAAGTATATTTGACCATGGATTACTATCTTACACGGTCACTGTGGTGTGTTTGGTTAGTTTGCGTTTTTATCCAGAACCTCCATTTGTGGATTCTAAAGCTCCATTGGGGGCGGGGAGGGGGGGGGGGGGGATAAACCATAGTCCCACTGCCGCCCCTGACAAGCATGCCATAGGGGTGACTCATTAGAGTTATTTGCTTCAAAGTCAGATGTATCTGCCTGAGAGTTGGGGAACCAACAGTCTGCACACAAAAAAGTCAGGTCTGCAAAATGTATGCTCATGCAAAACTAATTCTTGAACAGGACCGAAGTTCTGAGATGGATGAACAACCAGAACTTTCTACTGGAATTTGCAGGTGGTGAATACAAAGAAGAAGAAGAAGCGCCGAAATTAGGTCATTTGTTAGAGTTATCTATATATTATCACTTATTGTCCTCTTGCTGTTTTACCACAAAGTTTGCAAGTTGTCACTACATTATCACATTTATTTCTCCTATCAAGGCCTCCCCCACAATCTTAACTGTGCACGTAGTATAATATTTCTAACCAGTTTTCTAACTGCTTCTTTCCTAAAAGACTGTGTTGTGAGTTTTCTCCGTCAGTAAGTAAAGTAAAGGTAAAGGACACTTTTCCACACCTTTCAGGCATATTGGGTATATAGGGCTAGACTTATAGTTTATAGACCAAACCGCACTTGGTGGCTGATGTGGTCAGCATTACGCCGACCGCCTTTACTTTCCCAATACTTTATCTAGTACCCACTCAAGGCTGGGTCGACCTGGGAGCCAAAGTCATTTTTGAAAAAAGTCCAGCTCCATCAGGAACTGACCCTCATGACCTTCCAATCTGCAGGCGAGCGTCTAGCCACTCGACCATGGCGCCTGCTTTCTACCTCAGTCCTTTATATTATTCTGTTTGTCTTCCTTACAAAGCATATTTCTGCTGCCATCAGATTCACAGTTTTTAGTGTGTCTGCTTATTTTTCAGAGCTGACATGCATGCAATAGTTTAGCCTCCACAAAGCACTGCAGGTGACAGCGTTTTTTTAGTGAATGTCCGCTTTTTTGTATTTTGGTAAAGGCCACTAATGTTAGGGCCATTCCTACTCTGATGTTAACAAGTCTTCTTCCTGTTGAATGTTATTGCTATTTAGAGATAGATGAAACGTTTCCTTGTTTAAGAGTCTCTTCTTGACTTGATACAGCATTATGTTATGTCATATTTTACATAAAAATAACATAAGATATGCATCAGGTGACATTTGATGGTATAAGCAGGCCAGTCATATCTTTACCATTGACAAGTTGTAGCCCCTGAAACGCCACTGGTATCCAAGCACCTAAGACTCTTGGCGTTGATTGAAATATCATATTTACATCATGCTCAACTTGTTCTAATTTCAAATGATGTTAACTCTTTTCATTTTATTTCAACAGCTGCAAATGACATCATAGACCTAACAGTGTATTCTGTGAGAAATGTGACAACCCCGACGGTTGATCTGTATGTTTCATGGACACCTGGGGAAAAGACAGGGCCGACTGTTTATTACATCCTTGTCCAGGAAGCTTTAGGGCTCGACACTGGGGACTATAATCAGAGTGTTAGTCCACTAACTGTCTCAGGTGTGTCATGTTGTTCCTAAGTCACTTTCTGTTTTGACTTAAATTTATCATCATGAAGCAGGTCCTTTGCAGAATATTACTCTCATCACAGTCTGCCTGAAACTCGGTCTCTTGCCAGCTGTCAAGCCTCATGTACTTTTATACCCAAAGAGTGACTTATATCCGACCCATCTTCATGTTTGTCGGCCTCAATCCTGGTACTGTGCCTTCTGCTATTATTTTTCCCAGTCCACTAGAACGCTTAAAATGATCAAAATATTTTAGCTTCTGAGACAAGATGCTGTGTATTAGCCAGTCTTCCTTAATGTTTAGAAGGGCATTCTTCTCTTTTTTGTCTACTGTATACTATTAATCTTTCTACAGTATTTCAGCTCAGAAGCCCCTGATTTCTTCCTTAAGAACTGGGAGATAATCCATGTCTCACATCTGTATGTTGCTTCAGGGAAGATGCATACTCTCAAAAATTAACTTTTATTTCCTTGCTGGTGCTTTACTATGGACTTTTAATGCTGTTAAATCTTTGTTTTGCTATGCCTTCCTCCTTTTGACTTGTGTCGAACAGTCTCCATTGCTGTTTATTATGGAACCTAGATATTCAAAGTGTGTGACATTTTCAGTTTCGTCCCCTCCCCGTCCCCCCACCCCTTTTTTTTCAACTGTTGTCACATACTTGGTTTCTTTAACACTTGTTTCTGGACCTTTGTAAATGGACAAATCCTCTTTAGTGCCAATGAGTAAGAAAATACTTTCGCACTGAAAAAAAAACCTCAATAATAAGTTGACAGTACACAGGATGAAGAAACAATAAATATAAACTGGGACTAGTGCTGTTTGTCAGTGACACCCTTGCATCTTGCAGACATGTTTTGGACATACTCTGTGACCCACATTAAGTCAGAAAATATCGTTGATTTAGCAAAATCAGTAGTGCTAGCCATTGTTGTGATACATATTTGTGTGTATGTGTGTGTATATATATTTCCATGATTATTGTGGTGAAGATGAGACACTCCACTAAAACTTGCTTTCTGAATTTGAGTTACCTTTTTAGTTACCTTTTTAGCTACCTTTAGTTACAGGGAACTGCGATGTTTGGCAATTTTAACTCAAAAGCATTTTCATGGCTGACATGTGTCACTCTACAGTATGTCAGATGCACATATGAATTTCTGCTCCAGACATGTCAAAATGAAATATTACTTTTCATGCAACTACACAGTTTTCATTTGCTGCAAAATGATTTTTCAGAGAGATTTCAATGTTTAAACATGATTTTCATTAATATCATTTGCCATGCCATTGAGTTTATGTAATCGTGGTTCACTATCTGACATCATCCACAGTGTCTGGTCAAATCTGTTATATCTCTATCATTTGATCTGGCTAAGCTTTCAGGTATATATCTTTTCATCTTTACCTTGATTTTTCCCATTTAGATTGTCAGTTGTGATTCCTCTTCTTTGTTCACCGGCTGTAAGCTGTGGTGGAAGGTCCTAGTTGTTTGTCCATCTGGACTTTGGCTTTGTACCAGGGCCTGAGTTTTGTGGGTACATATGTTTTACTTGCTTATTTGTGTTCAGTTGGTTGTTCATTTCTTCTTGGCTGTGATTAAGTTCTTATCAGTTCTTAAGTTCTGTAAAAGAATCTTGACTGTGTTTGATTTCCCCCATTTAACTTATGTTTTGAATAGTTTTTTTTTTTTAATTGCCTTGTTTGTTTATGTGTTTATTCAGTGTATTCTTTGCATTTTCCTGAGACACCATATTCTCACTGCCATTAGATGTTGCTAGGATTGTCGCTTATTGAGCATGTTTTTTTAACGAGAAGCATACAACTGTATAATCTCTACAATGCACTTAACAGTCACTGTACCAGTTGATCTATACAAAACATGGTGCCAGCACCATTCGCTAGCTTGAAAAGGGTTATAACTCAATGTAAGTCACCTCATCTCATTAGCCGCAAGATTTCAAGGGGATTTCCTAAGACCTATAGTCTAGAAGTGTCATGCATTCCTTGTTTTTTGACTGTTTTAAGCACATCCACTACCGATGACAGCCACCAATGCAAAAACATCCATGATTCGTTACTCATGAATCGTCACGCCTTCGGCACTTCCCGCTGTGATACTTCTTCCTTGCATACAGGTGCCTTGGGCGCCTGAGGCCTGCTCACAACAACAGCACATTCTAGAAACAACAGTCATTCACAAAAAAGGGAGTTGCAACAACAATAACAAAAAAAGCTGCACAGAGCTGTCTGAAAGACAGTGTGTCAACCATGTTGAATGAACCCAAACCATTTTTCAGCACGTTGTGTATAGATGTCTCATAACAATCCTAGAACATAGAACGCTCATGGAACAGCTACAAAATCTCACAGCCGTCAGCGAGGTGGGGTGACTTTTATGAGTAGTACCAAAAAGGGTCCTCAAGTCTTTTACTCGCTGTATAACAGTTAACTCTTCCTGTCATTTAGCTCATTGTTTGTGGCATTATGTGTGTGAGATGTTGGTACTAATGAGCTGCTTATATAACTAAACCTTGTATAGATTAACAAAATATAATCTTTGTCTTGTGTATTAACTGAGTCATTTAACATTTTTTTTAATTTCACATACCAGGTTACAATAATAATAATTATATGCAAGTTGACGCCCTGGCATACTGGAACTACAATGTGTCTGTTTGGGCACACACCGATGAAGGAAACAGCAGCCTGAAGTCTGCACTAAACAAAACTGTAGAAAATGGTAAGTGTTGATTTATTCAGCATATTGTTAGAGGCCTTGACCTGTAAAAATGTGTTGAACTAAGACCTAGAGCATACAATGTTTGCTGGCTTGTTATGTCACTGGATACCAGAAAGGTTCAGGGAATGTAAGGCAGCCATTCTTGTGTTGACCACCTCATACATCAAACTCTGAATGGGCTGATTTAAAAAAAAATGAAAAAAATGGACTAAGTAAAAAAAAAAAAAAAAAAGTAAAGATCCCTTTTCACGCCTTTCGGCGTATCGGGCATATGGGCAGAGCGTCCCATATTTTTACAGACCATCAGCACTCTGTGGGTAATGTGGTCAGCATTACGCCGGCTGTCTTTACTTTCCCAGGACAGCCCATCCTGGTACCCATTTTAGGCTGGGTCGACCTGCGACGTCCCATACCACGATAAAAATCCTCGCAGCCTGCAGTGGGTTTCGATCGCGGTATGCTGGCTTACGGGTCGGACTCGCAACGCCTTAGCCACGGACGCCGCTAAAAAAATGGACTAGCTCAACATAATTGAAGACAGAGAAACCTGGTCCTTTACTTGTTTGTGTCATTCATCTTGTAACCTGAACTGGAAGACATAATATTGGTTACAGTCATGTAAAGTTTGTGGATCTGAGCACTGATGGCAGGCAGGAGATGGGAATCTGTAATTTTTGATTCGTTTATTACCAGATATTTAGCCGAAATAATATTCCACATTTTCTACTTCTTATTGGGATTACTGTCACCTTGTTGTTTCTCTGTGTTACCACAGCACCTGGTATTGTTAAATGAAGGCTTGTTCTGAAACTTCATCTGTATGTGCCCGGTCTCATCAGAGCCTGGTAATCATAACTTTCTGATCCTTGTGTTTAATTTTTAATTAAGAATCAATATCACAACACTCGGGATATTCCCATAAGTGCCATCCCCATCTTCAGCAGCAAGTTCAGAGTTTTTGTTTTTTCTGTGGTACCAATATCAGTCTGATTGTATATCCATCTCACCTTTTCCTTGAGTGCTGATCATCGGCCAGATCCCCTGTTCAATCTTTGCAGTTTCATTCTCTTCAGGCTATGATGATCCATCTTGTTGAATTAAGAATCGACCTCACAGCACTTGGGACACTCCCGTAGGTGCTCAGTCCCTGTCTTCAGCAGCAAGCGAAGAGTTCCAGTTCCGATGGCACCAGTAACTGTCTGCTTGTATATCCATCTCATCCTTTCCCTAAGTGTTGAGCGTCGGTCAGATCCCCTGGTAACTCCTCGCAGCATTAAGCTCCTCAGACCGTAATGATTTATCTGCACATCCGCACTGTTCACCCGTACCCAAAGGGCCCTCACAATATCTAACTTGGCATACATCAGTACACCACCAAGTGGTGCAGAGCCAACCAGTCTATCTGCCTGCTCGTTTCCCAACACAACGGCAGGATCTGGAGAAAATACCCAAAGGATGCTAACTACCCGAGACCCCTGAAGTGATGCTTGCCGCTCTGCATGAAGCATGCTTCTTTTCACCTTTCTCAACATGCTCTGTGAATTGGTTACAATTACAACATGTCTGTACAGCTGATTCTCAAACCAGCGAAAGGCAGCAATGACTGCCTGCACCATTCTCAGACTTGATGTTCTGGTGTATTATGCCAGGCTTTGTTGCACTAAGCAATGTCCAGTCACGTTTGCTAAGAACCAACATAAGCTTCAGCTGCCTCTCAACACAGAGCCATCTGTATACATTATCATATCGCCTGGGTGAGAATTATTATGAATCAGTTTTTTTTTTTAATGACCCTCTCTGTATTGAACGTTTTAATGAAGTTTAGTCACTATTGTATGTGTATTATGAATTTTCTCAGTCAATTTTCCTCATCAGTTCATTTCTTTGGGATTAGATTTATTACTGTACCAAACAGTTTTTTTTTTTAGTTTAATAACGTAATTATTAATGAAAGCAAATTCCAAAATTAAGACTTAGATATCCTTAAAAATGTTTATGTATATGAATGAACAAGTGTATGCAAGGAATGAGACGAAGGGCAGAATGTTAGACAGGCCTTTGTGCCCAATTCTTAACCCGTTGAAAATAAAGTTAATTCTTTCATTTTCTTTCCCAGTATTTTCCCTTATAATGCCAATTTATGTGATTTATTTAGTCTGCTGATATGCCCTATCAATTTCATTAGCTTTTCTATTGAATTTGGTAAGTGACCCAGTAAGACCCACAGCTCTGGGAAGGCTAACCCAGGCAAAAAGTGCATGAAGAAGTTGGATGTATCATCCAAAAAGCACAAATATCACAGCCATGCTGTAAACAGGTAGAACATAGTCATGTCCTCAGATGAACTCAGAAGAAGACCCATGGCTGTCATATCTTAATTTTTTTGTTTTTTTTCTCTGTCTACAATATTCTCAAGACCATAATCTCACATCTGTCCACTGCTCGGCTGTCAACTGTTGAAACCTCCATATTTATTCGTATGAGCTGCTTTTCTCACCTGTAATTGTACTACGCTGACAGATCCTGGACCTGTTGAGAATCTGAATGTGACACAAGATCCAACTATTGCCAACATTGTCACTTTAACATTTGAGTGTCCTGAAATAAGGAGCCGGAATGGGAGAATAGACAAGTTTGTCATCAATCAAACACTTCTCAATTCTCAAGCTCAAGAAGTAAGTCTGGATTATGTTGTGTTTGTGTTATTTGGCGCCATTTTGAGGTTTCTCTGATGCATTGGTCTTGTTTGTGATTGTTATTGTAGAAATTGAAGAGCATAACTGATTATAGCGGATCACAGCAAGAACAAACGAACGAACGAACGAACAAACCTAATTTTCAAAGTGTTACAAATTAGGTACACAGGCCTGTCTTAAATTCTGCCCTTCCAAACTCCTATCTTTCACACAGCAGTTGTATTTCATCAATAAAGCATGTTATGTTCATGTAATAATCTGCATAATATGAATATCAAGTCAAAAACAAAAGCATGGGTGGTAAAATATGTGCGCACGCTAGCGCGCAAACACACACACCCACATACACATGCAAACCCATTCACTCACACACACACGTAGGCACCCAATACACACATACATCCATATACATACGAACATGCACACAAACACACACATATGTACATGCCTACATACACACTCGTAGACGCACATAGATACACACGTTATCAAAAAGACACACACAGATACCCACGAAGCCACACACACACAGACACATGCAGACATGATATAATAGAAACACCCATAGAGACTCACACAGATACACACAAGAGAGGAAAGAGAGTGTAAGCAAGTACTCTCCTGGCAATATATGTGTGGATAACATGTAACAAATGTGTTAAAGACATCTGAATATAGAAGTTGAATCAGCATGCTTTACTGGTAATGAAATTCTCCAAGCCATTTAAATTTGGACATTTGATTTTAAATTTAATTTAAATTTTTTTGTTGTTGAAATATTAGTTTTGTCGTTTTGAGTTGATTACTGTCAAAATATTCTATTTCTTGTTTATTTATGTAAATTATCTTATAATTATTGGTAAAGCCAGAGGGTAACGGTATCCAAATAATTTCTTACTAATGTATTAGGTGTCCATGATTCACATCCATACATCATAATCAGCTGTTTTAACTCTTTGATAACTCTCTTTCTTGCATTTATTGACCTTGTACTGACCTGTCCTGTATATCATCCCTAAAATATATTCCCTGTTTGCCGACATAGGACTGATGTAATTCAGTACAAAAAACTTTGTACAACAACCTTGAAAGCAGAAAAAAAACTTGGAACAATATCTTTAAATTTCAAAGTTGTCAATAATCCAAGAAAACACATTTATCTTCCATAACTAGGAAATCCACAATGATTCTTGCCTGAAAGTAGCCCAGTTAACATGCTGATAGTTTGTATGAAAACAGGGGTGGTGAAAGGGGAGTTAATATAAAAAATTAGCTCACAAGGAAGCTCAGTGAGGCTCAACAATGGAGGAAGGGAAAAAACACACACACACACAGGCAAAACAAACGTCTCAGCCTTAGCCGTCATCAATGCCTGCCACAACAAGAAAATGAATCCTGGACACACATACACACACGCACGCACACAAGCACCCACCCACCCACTCACACACAAACACACACACACTCACACACATGGCAGTCACTTGAAGAATTGTACTGAAATGTGAAAAATAGGAAGAACAGGACAAGATGTTATGAAGTAAAACATAAAGGATAATAGTAGTAATACACATGTTAATAATAATAGTCAAGTGATTGAGTTGCTTGTCTTGCCCTTTGTGAGATGTGCATTGGTTCATGGCTGCACCATTCGGTCCATGAGTGCACTTTTTATGATGATCCCCAGGATTAATAACAGTAGCTGTATAATGCTTTGTGCGACACTCTCAGCAGGCAGTTATCCGCTCTGCAGAGGTAACCGAGCCGTGTGGTATAAAAACCTGCTGCAATGTCCTTGACCCTCTCAACTTTAACTGTGACTTTAACCTTATTGCTTGACAAATGTATCCCTTAAGTACACATGTAATTTGCATTGAACGTTAGAGAGTGTGTATATAAAATTTCAGCTGTTAGATTTTTAACAGCGTCTAAAAGATTTCAGTTGAGAAAAACAACTTCATTGCACAGAATTTTACCTCATAAAGCTTGATATCACTTTGCAATTCTCCACAGCTTATCTGTAGCACCAGCTTCCACAGCCAATCTAAAATATCAATAACCCTGTACACACAATCAGAAACTATTTGAATATTATCTCAGCACACACTATATGCCCTCATAAAAGATCATAGTTTTCAACATATTGAGTTTTTCCCTAGATTGATTACACTTACTATACTTACTATTTTACTGTTTGGAACTGTGTATAATTAGAGCACATCCCAGTGAATGCTGTATATTATTATTATGTTAACTGATATATAAATGGAATAATGTATCTAAGGGCAGACTGTCAGATCGGCCTGCATGCACGGTTCTCAGCCCTTCAAAAATAAAGTTTGTTTATATCTTGTGTGAATGGCAAGCTGACAGCTTAGAGTGTCACACAATGCTTGAGCTTTGTAGCTCCAGCCATGATCCCCCGGGATCTATTTAAAAAACTCCTACAGAAATGTCTGGTTGTTTGTCCACTTCTAGAATTTAGTCTTGTTCCAGAACTTCAGTTTCAAGTGCACATCCAGTTGTAAATTCCCTGCCTCTCAGGCAGATGCACTCAGACTTCAGAGGGAAAATTCTGGAATAGTGTTTTACGGCATGCTCGTTAGGGAGGCAGTGAGTCTGTTCTTCCCTCCAAATGAGGCACCAGAACCCACACTGTATTTTGTCTACTTTTGAAATAAACCCATGACCTTCATAGCATAAGGTCAGGAGCCCAACCACCAAGGGACAGAGATTCTTAAACAATGTGATGATTCCTTCCAGCAGATCTTGTGAGAAAAAGTCGGCACAGAACCAATTCTAAATTACATACAAAGACAACAAGTGAAATGGTTTGCCCACTTAGAGAGAATGCCTTGTGACGCCATACCATACAAAGCATACATGGAAAGAGAAGAAGGACATAGAGCAAGAGGTAGACCAAGAACAAGATGGAAGGATAACATCAGAGAAACTCTACAACAGCACGATGTGCCTATGGTCGAGGCAGCCAGAAGAGCTAGAAACAGAACCTTATATCTCCCTCGACACCCACAGCGGTAAAAGAGGAAGTGAAGAAGAAGAAGAAGAGCTTGTGATAGGAGATAGGCTACTTGACTTTGACAACATGAGATAGTCTTTATATGACAGTTTTTTTTTGAAGATATTATAGTCTTTATAGAAGTGGTTTCCTGTAAACTGTGAGATAATCTGTTTAGCAGTTTGTTTTTATTAAAGATTAAACAACAGAAGTCTCCTACAAAGTTTGAAAGATGCAAATTTTTAAATTTCTATCTCATGCGCATTTTTTTAATTTCTATCTCCCAGGTTAAAGAAGAAATATATAACCACAGTGCCACTGATGGACAACAACAACCTTGCAGTAGGGGCTACACAGTTAAAGCCAGAGATATCATAGTGGAGAGAAACTATTTATTCACAGTAAGTTGGTAATATCTTTTAGAAAAATCCCAGTACTCACCACAAAGTGTCAAAACAAGGTACCAGTACTCACCACAAAATGTCTGAACAAGGTACCAGTACTCACCACAAAGTGTCTAAACAGGGTACCAGTACTCACCACAAAGTGTCTAAACAAGGTACCAGTACTCACCACAAAGTGTCTAAACAAGGTACCAGTACTCACTACAAAGTGTCTAAAGTTGTGCCACTACTCGCCACAGTGTGCACACACACACATTCAAACACATACATACATACACACACACACACGCACGCACACATGCACACACACACACACACACACACACACATATATATATATATATATATATATATATATATATATATATATATATATATATATGAATATCTGTATCTCTCTCTCTCACTCTCTCTCTCTCTCTCTCACTCTCTCTCTCTCTCTCTCTCTCTCTCTATCTCTCTCTCTCTCTCTCTCTCTCTCTCTCTCTCTCTCTCTCTCTCTCTCTCTCCGTTCCTATGTCAGTAAAAACCACACAAAATGCCCATGGCTGTTGCATGTGAAAAGTCAAACAGACAGCAGTCCTGGCAAGTCCAGTAGCTCCAGAGATGTCACCACCTATAGTATGTCACTAGAATTGCTGTTTGCTTGAAGGAAACAGCAGTCATGATAAACCAGCAGGTGCACTTGTATCATTGCTTAAGGCACACCACCAATTCAATGGCACTTGCCATTTTCTAAATATGCATTTGACAGACATGCTGAATATAATTTTATCAACTTGTAAATGATGCTATAAACTAAATGGATTGGAGAAAATAATAGCAGAAGGCATGGGTAACAGGAAGAAGGGGCAGGTGCAGACCAACATAAAGATGGGCACAGGATAAAAGTGACTCCTTGGATATGAAAGGGCAAAAAGTGGGAGAGCTGACAAGAGATCGATTTTTTTTTTCAGGCAAACCATGATGAGAGCAACATTCTGCAAAAGACCTGCTATATGATGATGAGAAAATAAGCAGATCCAATTCTCTGCATATATTTAAATCATGAATTCCTCAGTCTGTACGCCAGAGAGGATTAGAGGTTGTGATATCTGCTCGGTCTGGACTGTGATTTGTTAAAGTAAATAAGAAAAATATGGTGAACTTCCTGCTGATCCCAGGTTAGTGAATCTGACCTCTAAACTTCCTGGATAAGGGTGAAAAACTAAGAAATACACATTACAGACGTAAACAATCATCAATGTTTAGAAATTTTAAGGTGAAGGCTGGTTCGGCTGTCATCTGCGCTAAATTATATTTTTTTTTAAAAAGGCTACTTAACTCTTTGAGTCCCAGGGGGTTTAGCATCACAGGCCCAGTGGGTAGTAAAGAAAGTAATAAAATCGGTGCATCATGCGTTCATTGGGCTTCTAGGTAGGAACCTATGAACGTATGATGTGTTCCTTGGGACTCAAAGAGTTAAGTAAAAGAATATTTATAGCATGTAGATTTCAATATACAGACATTTGGATCCTCGCTGTTATTACAGAATGTGTTCACAACTTTTTAGACTTTCCTTGTGTGGTTTGTGGAAGGAGACTGAAACACTTATTGAATTGTTTATGTGCAGCGAAAGTAATCATTAACCAAAAGCAAATCTCTACTCTCTGACTGCCATGTCTTACATTTCACTAATATACACTGACTTGTCGCTTGTCTTTACAGGTGATGACTGTCAACAATAAATATGAAGGAGGTTTGAGCGCTGTGTCCAACTTTGTAGTAGCACCACAAGGTAATTCCTGATTATAGCTTCATGTGTGTGCCAGTGCTGGCTGAATGCCTGTGATATTCTAGCCACCAAGATTCCCACATTCTGTAGCAAATGTCATGAGATGATGGTGTCACCAAAGATTTCTCCCACCTTGAGACCAAATGTTCATTGTTTTTAACACAAATGAAACAGTTGCTATTATAAAACACAGTATGAAAAAAACATAAAATTTTGCTTATCAGTACAGGACAGATACTGGCTGCCAAGTTTATCAGTACAGGACAGATACTGGCTGCCAAGTTTATCAGTACAGGACAGATACTGGCTGCCAAGTTTATCAGTACAGGACAGATACTGGCTGCCAAGTTTATCAGTACAGGACAGATACTGGCTGCCAAGTTTATCAGTACAGGACAGATACTGGCTGCCAAGTTTATCAGTACAGGACAGATACTGGCTGCCAAGTTTATCAGTACAGGACAGATACTGGCTGCCAAGTTTATCAGTACAGGACAGATACTGGCTGCCAAGTTTATCAGTACAGGACAGATACTGGCTGCCAAGTTTATCAGTACAGGACAGATACTGGCTGCCAAGTTTATCAGTACAGGACAGATACTGGCTGCCAAGTTTATCAGTACAGGACAGATACTGGCTGCCAAGTTTATCAGTACAGGACAGATACTGGCTGCCAAGTTTATCAGTACAGGACAGATACTGGCTGCCAAGTTTATCAGTACAGGACAGATACTGGCTGCCAAGTTTATCAGTACAGGACAGATACTGGCTGCCATGTTTATCAGTACAGGACAGATAATGGCTGCCAAGTTTATCAGTACAGAACAGATACTGGCTGCCAAGTTTATCAGTACAGGACAGATACTGGCTGCCAAGTTTATCAGTACAGGACAGATACTGGCTGCCAAGTTTATCAGTACAGGACAGATACTGGCTGCCAAGTTTATCAGTACAGGACAGATACTGGCTGCCATGTTTATCAGTACAGGACAGATACTGGCTGCCATGCTTATCAGTACAGGACAGATACTGGCTGCCATGTTTATCAGTACAGGACAGATACTGGCTGCCATGTTTATCAGTACAGGACAGATACTGGCTGCCAAGTTTATCAGTACAGGACAGATACTGGCTGCCATGTTTATCAGTACAGGACAGATAATGGCTGCCAAGCTTATCAGTACAGGACAGATACTGGCTGCCAAGTTTATCAGTACAGGACAGATACTGGCTGCCAAGTTTATCAGTACAGGACAGATAATGGCTGCCAAGTTTATCAGTACAGGACAGATACTGGCTGCCAAGTTTATCAGTACAGGACAGATAATGGCTGCCAAGTTTATCAGTACAGGACAGATACTGGCTGCCATGTTTATCAGTACAGGACAGATACTGGCTGCCAAGTTTATCAGTACAGGACAGATACTGGCTGCCAAGTTTATCAGTACAGGACAGATACTGGCTGCCAAGTTTATCAGTACAGGACAGATACTGGCTGCCAAGTTTATCAGTACAGGACAGATACTGGCTGCCAAGTTTATCAGTACAGGACAGATACTGGCTGCCAAGTTTATCAGTACAGGACAGATACTGGCTGCCAAGTTTATCAGTACAGGACAGATACTGGCTGCCAAGTTTATCAGTACAGGACAGATACTGGCTGCCAAGTTTATCAGTACAGGACAGATACTGGCTGCCAAGTTTATCAGTACAGGACAGATACTGGCTGCCAAGTTTATCAGTACAGGACAGATACTGGCTGCCAAGTTTATCAGTACAGGACAGATACTGGCTGCCAAGTTTATCAGTACAAGGACAGATACTGGCTGCCATGTTTATCAGTACAGGACAGATACTGGCTGCCAAGTTTATCAGTACAGGACAGATACTGGCTGCCAAGTTTATCAGTACAGGACAGATACTGGCTGCCAAGTTTATCAGTACAGGACAGATACTGGCTGCCAAGTTTATCAGTACAGGACAGATACTGGCTGCCAAGTTTTATCAGTACAGGACAGATACTGGCTGCCAAGTTTATCAGTACAGGACAGATACTGGCTGCCAAGTTTATCAGTACAGGACAGATACTGGCTGCCAAGTTTATCAGTACAGGACAGATACTGGCTGCCAAGTTTATCAGTACAGGACAGATACTGGCTGCCAAGTTTATCAGTACAGGACAGATACTGGCTGCCAAGTTTTATCAGTACAGGACAGATACTGGCTGCCAAGTTTATCAGTACAGGACAGATACTGGCTGCCAAGTTTATCAGTACAGGACAGATACTGGCTGCCAAGTTTATCAGTACAGGACAGATACTGGCTGCCAAGTTTATCAGTACAGGACAGATACTGGCTGCCAAGTTTATCAGTACAGGACAGATACTGGCTGCCAAGTTTATCAGTACAGGACAGATACTGGCTGCCAAGTTTATCAGTACAGGACAGATACTGGCTGCCAAGTTTATCAGTACAGGACAGATACTGGCTGCCAAGTTTATCAGTACAGGACAGATACTGGCTGCCAAGTTTATCAGTACAGGACAGATAACTGGCTGCCAAGTTTTATCAGTACAGGACAGATACTGGCTGCCAAGTTTATCAGTACAGGACAGATACTGGCTGCCAAGTTTTATCAGTACAGGACAGATACTGGCTGCCAAGTTTATCAGTACAGGACAGATACTGGCTGCCAAGTTTTATCAGTACAGGACAGATACTGGCTGCCAAGTTTATCAGTACAGGACAGATACTGGCTGCCAAGTTTATCAGTACAGGACAGATACTGGCTGCCAAGTTTATCAGTACAGGACAGATACTGGCTGCCAAGTTTATCAGTACAGGACAGATACTGGCTGCCAAGTTTATCAGTACAGGACAGCTACTGGCTGCCAAGTTTATCAGTACAGGACAGATACTGGCTGCCAAGTTTATCAGTACAGGACAGATACTGGCTGCCAAGTTTATCAGTACAGGACAGATACTGGCTGCCAAGTTTATCAGTACAGGACAGATACTGGCTGCCAAGTTTATCAGTACAGGACAGCTACTGGCTGCCAAGTTTATCAGTACAGGACATACTGGCTGCCAAGTTTATCAGTACAGGACAGATACTGGCTGCCAAGTTTATCAGTACAGGACAGATACTGGCTGCCAAGTTTATCAGTACAGGACAGATACTGGCTGCCAAGTTTATCAGTACAGGACAGATACTGGCTGCCAAGTTTATCAGTACAGGACAGATACTGGCTGCCAAGTTTATCAGTACAGGACAGATACTGGCTGCCAAGTTTATCAGTACAGGACAGATACTGGCTGCCAAGTTTATCAGTACAGGACAGATACTGGCTGCCAAGTTTATCAGTACAGGACAGATACTGGCTGCCAAGTTTATCAGTACAGGACAGATACTGGCTGCCAAGTTTATCAGTACAGGACAGATACTGGCTGCCAAGTTTATCAGTACAGGACAGATACTGGCTGCCAAGTTTATCAGTACAGGACAGATACTGGCTGCCAAGTTTATCAGTACAGGACAGATACTGGCTGCCAAGTTTATCAGTACAGGACAGATACTGGCTGCCAAGTTTATCAGTACAGGACAGATACTGGCTGCCAAGTTTATCAGTACAGGACAGATACTGGCTGCCAAGTTTATCAGTACAGGACAGATACTGGCTGCCAAGTTTATCAGTACAGGACAGATACTGGCTGCCAAGTTTATCAGTACAGGACAGATACTGGCTGCCAGTTTTATCAGTACAGGACAGATACTGGCTGCCAAGTTTATCAGTACAGGACAGATACTGGCTGCCAAGTTTATCAGTACAGACAGGACAGATACTGGCTGCCAAGCTTATCAGTACAGGACAGATACTGGCTGCCAAGTTTATCAGTACAGGACAGATACTGGCTGCCAAGTTTATCAGTACAGGACAGATACTGGCTGCCAAGTTTATCAGTACAGGACAGATAATGGCTGCCAAGTTTATCAGTACAGGACAGATACTGGCTGCCAAGTTTATCAGTACAGGACAGATACTGGCTGCCAAGTTTATCAGTACATCATGGCTGCCAAGTTTATCAGTACAGGACAGATAATGGCTGCCAAGTTTATCAGTACAGGCCAGATTTTATGCCAAGTTTATCAGTACAGGACAGATACTGGCTGCCAAGTTTATCAGTACAGGACAGATACTGGCTGCCAAGTTTATCAGTACAGGACAGATACTGGCTGCCAAGTTTATCAGTACAGGACAGATACTGGCTGCCAAGTTTATCAGTACAGGACAGATATCAGTGGCTGCTGCCAAGTTTATCAGTACAGGACAGATACTGGCTGCCAAGTTTATCAGTACAGGACAGATACTGGCTGCCAAGTTTATCAGTACAGGACAGATACTGGCTGCCAAGTTTATCAGTACAGGACAGATACTGGGCAAGTTTGCCAAGTTTTCAGTAAGTTTATCAGTACAGGATACAGATACTGGCTGCCAAGTTTATCAGTACAGGACAGATACTGGCTGCCAAGTTTATCAGTACAGGACAGATACTGGCTGCCAAGTTTATCAGTACAGGACAGATACTGGCTGCCAAGTTTATCAGTACAGGACAGATACTGGCTGCCAAGTTTATCAGTACAGGACAGATACTGGCTGCCAATTTTTATCAGTACAGGACAGATACTGGCTGCCAAGTTTATCAGTACAGGACAGATACTGGCTGCCAAGTTTATCAGTACAGGACAGATACTGGCTGCCAAGTTTTATCAGTACAGGACAGATACTGGCTGCCAAGTTTATCAGTACAGGACAGATACTGGCTGCCAAGTTTATCAGTACAGGACAGATACTGGCTGCCCAAGTTTATCAGTACAGGACAGAGATGGCTGCCTGGCTGCCAAGTTGCCAGTACAGGACAGATACTGGCTGCCAAGTTTATCAGTACAAGTTTTATCAGTACAGGACAGATACTGGCTGCCAAGTTTATCAGTACAGTTTATCAGTACAGGACAGATACTGGCTGCCAAGTTTATCAGTACAGGACAGATACTGGCTGCCAGATCAGTACAGGACAGATACTGGCTGCCAAGTTTTATCAGTACAGGACAGATACTGGCTGCCAAGTTTATCAGTACAGGACAGATAATGGCTGCCAAGTTTATCAGTACAGGACAGATACTGGCTGCCAAGTTTATCAGTACAGGACAGATACTGGCTGCCAAGTTTATCAGTACAGGACAGATACTGGCTGCCAAGTTTATCAGTACAGGACAGATAATGGCTGCCAAGTTTATCAGTACAGGACAGATAATGGCTGCCAAGTTTATCAGTACAGGACAGATACTGGCTGCCAAGTTTATCAGTACAGGACAGATACTGGCTGCCATGTTTATCAGTACAGGACAGATACTGGCTGCCATGTTTATCAGTACAGGACAAATACTGGCTGCCAAGCTTATCAGTACAGGACAGATACTGGCTGCCAAGTTTATTTTGGAAAGATCTGCAAGTGACAGGTTTCACTTAATAACGCTATCTTTGAACAGAACCTCCCTGATGTTCCACTGAATGACCCTATGATTGACTGGCTTGACACGTTAAATATTTTTTGTATTACATGATCAGTCAGTCGATCAAGTGTCATCTCTGCATGAACGGTCAACTGTAAATCAGTTACCAGCTCCTCCTTTTCTTTATGCATTCATATACTTCTTCTAGTCCATCTCTTGATTTTGTCCACACAGTCACAGTTTTTAACTTTCTTTTGCCCACTTCTCATCCCTCCAGCACATTCCTCAACAAGGAGTTTTGTCTTTCTCTCTGAGTGAGAGATGTGATGATAGTCTTTCTTTCCAGTACCTGCTTTATCACATTATACATAGATTCAAACATAGTTCGTGTCACCTCAAAACAATGCCAGTTGCACATATAAAGCAGGGACAGCTTGTGCTCATGTACAGTCGCTTAGTCCTCTCTGTATCATATGATGGATTTGGAACACTCACATTATCCTTGTTGCACCATCAGAGACTATATCACATCCAGAATAATGTTATCCTTTTTTTCGCTCTGTAATCCATCATGTACCAGGCAGCTCATTGTGTGTTTGTTAAAGACTCCATACATGACATATTTCTCTCAGCATCTTCTGTACCAGCAAGTTGTTGCATTCAACCATTATATCCTCAGTGTTATTCTCTCTTGGGCCTGATATTTAAGCCCTTAGGCCCAGACACAAGTTACTGAGATTTGCCATTGCTGGCAATGAGTGGGTATGGTAATAGAGGTTAATAGACATGTGAAAGAGAGAGAGAGAGAGAGCGAGCATTCCTAACTCTTCAGATGAAATAATGCATCAGCTTACAAACAGGCTGTATTGAGTGGCAAGAGAAGATCACAAACACTGATGTAATGGGAAAAGCAGCTTACAAAAGTTTTCTCAGTGCTCAGTCTTTGAAGACTCAGATGACTAGGTCACACTACAGGGACGGTAGAGTCTCTAAAGACATCCTCTGAGATGAATGACAAATGGGTAAAATAAACTGTCAGCCTCTGGTATGATATAAAGATGAGTCCAAAAGGGACGTGAATGATACCGGTACTGATGAGGATTCATAGGAACAGGATGCCATAAACCAGCACTATTCAACCAGGTTTACTCAGGGCCACAATTGTAAAAATTGGGATTGTCACGGGCCAAAGGCCCCAACCCAAGCTAAGAAAAATCATTAATGCAATACACATGGCAACAATCCGTGGGCCACTTTCTAGGCCTCTGCAGGCCAGATGTGGCCCGTGGGCCTCCAGTTGAATAGCCCTGCCGTAGACTGTTACATGGTAGAAATAAAATCAGGAAGGGAATAGGAATAAAGAAGACAATTATTGTCGATAGATGTAGAGGTGACCTTCTGAGAGATGTGTTAAATGCATGCAGTGAAAACACTGGTTTTGAAATCCCATGCCATACTGTAATTGTTGGAGACTTCTTGATGTGATCAGATCTTGCACGAATGATGTCATCAACTCAGTGAATGTTGTCTGGAGTAATTGCGATAGACAGTCCACTTTACGTCAGCCATTGAGGACTGATCTACTTCAGCTTCCTCACAGCAATGTACCCAGCATCAGACTGTTGCTAACATCCATTGTTGAATCTCCATAAACATTCTTCACATGTTCATGGATGCGAATGGGGATCTGGCCTTCAGCTTTGTGGAATTCTATGACATTACCAAATGCCTTTGGTAGCTATTTTTAAACCATTACAGTGGTGCCACCTGGTGGTAATGCTGTATGGGGAAGAAGAGTGTCTGAGGAATCTGGTTAAATTTACAAATTGTACACGGATACTGTATTTACATGGATAAAAATTTTAAAAAATCAGATGCATTACTTTTTGACCATCTCTCCTACAATATAACAATATCATCTGATGAAAAAAAGATGAAAGTTGAAAACAAAACCAGTCAATAGTTACACAGGGGTGAAGGACTGTGATATGCCACTATGGACAGTGGCGAAGATGTTGAGCATAAACAGATGGAATTGTTTCAGTCAGTGCTTGTTGAATGATAAAACCAATCAATGATACAGTTCTATAGCTGCTGAAATATAAAAACAAATATGGTAATAATGGTGGGGTTTTGTTTGTGTATACCCAGTCAGTATGCTGAAGGAGTTATTTGTATTTATGTTATGTCATACTGTGGAGGTAGGCACCTTTTAAACGCTGAAGCAGGAATTAATGTTGACTGTAAAATCTGTTTTTAATATTCATGATTTTTGTCACAGTTCCCCGACCAGAGAAGCTCAAAGAGTTACTTCGGGTGGACGCCCTGGTGAAGCAGCCAGACACTTCCACTGAACAAACCAAGATTACAACTGTTGTTTGTTCCTCATGTTTGACTGATGCCAGATGGGGGATCGTGAGAAATGTGGGGCTGCTGGTGTGTGTCAAAAGTCACCCAAACTGTACTCAACCAGGTAACAAGACTTTAGATTTGTCTTAAACATTGATTCAACCATTTCCTGTCTCAACAGCACACCTCCTATGGAGGTAGGTTTTTTGGAGGAAAGGGCGGGGGGGGGGGGGGGGGGGGGTCTGCTCCAGCCTCACAGGATTAGACTGTGGTGTCAAGTGGAGCTGTATAAACCATCTATAAATAAACATTAGTGAAACCAAATATTGTTTAATAATAACTAGGCGAAGACTAAAGATGTAGATGGAAACTAGATGTGACAGAGAAGCTAGTGTTATTGTGAAATCCAGCATGTCTGATAAGGCATCACAGTTTTATATCTGTTACATCTCAGTGTTTGCATCTATTGATATTAAACTGATTCTTATTTTCCAGAAAATACCCATTAAACTAGAATGAAGACAAAAATATAAAAGTAATAAATTAGTGACCTTTACATGTTTGTGGACATGCATTTATTTGATTCATTTTTTTTTATGTAACAAGGAAGAAAGAAAAGATCCACTGCTCTACAGTTTGGTCAGTTCCCAAGCTGGGCGACTGCAAAACAGCAAGGGTTTACAACTGGATACCGTACGACTCCAGATAAATGGATCCCACCTATATCAGGTAAGAATTCTCTGTTGTCTTCCATGTTATACTGACATTATCAGGATTTTAAATATATCAGACTATTTTTTTGTTTTTGTTTAGTCATATAATAGACAGATTTACAACATGAGAATAGCGTCATAGACATCAAGCATGTGGCCAGTTAGCACAAATCAGTGTTTTTAACAATGTTTTCCCGTAATGAGTTTAAATGATGCAGACACAAACAATACAGTGCACAACTTATTGCCAGGCATATTTCACTGTGTCTCGTCAGGTGCATTACTACAGGTACATCAGCATATAATGAAGAACAAAAACTAAATTGTCTAGTTGCCTGAAGTTCACAGTAGTTACATGACTTACCAGCTAATGACAGAGCTGACAGACTGGCAAAGAAAGGAGCAACACAAGAACAACCAACACAGCGACATCCCTACAAACAGCAAAAACACTTATAAAAGCTATAAACAAAGAGACTTGATTGAACAGATGGACCATGGGAGACACTGGAAGAGAGGTTTATAGACACATGGCTGGCCCTGATCCTAATGACAGCATTAACCATCTGACAAGAAGGGACCAGGCCACCATCTTCAGACTTAGAACGCAACATACTCCACTCAATGGACATCTAAACAGAATACAGCCACAACACTCCCCAGAGTGCCAGCTATGTAACTACCCCTACGAAACTGTTGAACACCATCTCTTTGAGTGCCCAAAACTCAGTGAGACAAGAAGAACGCTACTCCCTCCGAGACCAGACAAGTGGAACACCTTGTACGGAGGAAAAGAACAGCTTGTGAAAACATGCAAATTCCACTACATGGCATTGGGCCAAAAGGCGAAAGCTCATGCGCCGCTGGATCGATAACAACAACAACAACCAGAGTAACTTCAAATTTATTATCAATTCCTTCTGCTTACATAAGAGGGGCTTGTTAATTTCTGTTTTTAAAACTTTGGATGTAAATCATCGTGTTCATGTCTGTGTGATATGTGTCCTAAACCTCCAGTAATATCTAAGGCTGCTAGAGGGCTCATTGATTGTTTCAGACTTAGCTAAGCAGGATAGCATCAGACTGATCAATGACTAGCAACATCAGTCTGTGATAACATGTGTACCGGAGACGTTCACATGACAAGGATGTGTCCCAGCAACTTGCGCTGATACACAACATTCATCGTATCTGGGCCTGGTCATTCCTACAGGACATGGCACAGCAGGATTTTGGTTCAGTAATGAATATGTTCGTTTTATGTTTAATACTTTATGGCAGCATTAAAGGATGTAACACTCTTATAAAACCATGCTGGAGGGAAAAGTTGATGACTTGTGAACAAGGGGTAGACAGCAAAATAAGTGGGAGGATGACATCACGATATTTCCAGACAGCATACTCAGTGTACATACAAGATGAGAGACGGAGAATGTTGGAGATCCATTGCAGCTAACCTTTATTATGGAGATGGAACCTATTTGATTGACTGAGTGATTGATTCTTATTCTTGTTCATGTTCCAAGACTGTAAACAGAGGGAAGTTCTGGTTATTCATTAACTTCTAGAGTTTGTTCTAGTTCCGGAAGTGGAGTATTGCATGCGCGTTCATTTTACAGATCTGGCTTATTTGTAAGCAGACTTTTGATTGCTCACTTCTCAAGCAGATGCACTCCAACTTCGAAGGAATCACTCTGAATTGGTCCACTTTCACATGTTATGGAAGTAGTGGGTCAATTTTTTTAATGCAGCTCCAGAACCCAGAGAGATTGATGGATTTTTCTTCATCGACTGGTTGCTCATTGACTTCTGGACTTCAGTCTTTTGTTTAGAACCTAAACTTTCTGTGCACATCCATTTGACAGATCTGGCTTATTTTTTTCAGGCAGACACACTCCAATTTTGAAGAAAACACCTCCAGTGGTCAATTCTTAGGACATGCTTTTTAGGGGGTAGTGAGTTTGTCAAAAACCACCCACCCCACCCCCCACGCCCTCCCTCCCTTCCCCCCCCCCACCACCACAGTGGGCACTCAGAGCTCACACAGGAATTGACTGATTGTTACAGACAATGTGTTTTTGTTTCAGGGAATGAACAATTTAACAAGTTTGTGGTTGGAGAAAACACAAGTTGTAATGCTGCAGATCTTACAGATTATTGTAATGGACCACTGCCGGCTGGAACAGAATTCTAGTAAGTTTCTTCAGTAACAACAGACATTGTGTTGTATGCTTCTTCAGTAAGAACAGACATTGTGTTGTAAGTTTCTTCAGTAACAACAGACATTGGGTTGTATGTTTCTTCAGTAACAACAGACATTGTGTTGTATGTTTCTTCAGTAACAACCTATATTATTGTGTTGTATGTTTCTTCAGTAACAACATTGTGTTATATTTTTCTTCAGTAACAACCTATATTATTGCATTGTATGTTTCTTCAGTAACAACAGACATTGGGTTGTATGTTTCTTCAGTAACAACCTATATTATTGTGTTGTAAGTTTCTTCAGTAACAACAGACATTGTGTTGTATGTTTCTTCAGTAACAACATTGTGTTGTAAGTTTCTTCAGTAACAAGACATTGTGTTGTATGTTTCTTCAGTAACAACATTGTGTTGTATGTTTCTTCAGTAACAACAGATATTGTGTTGTATGCTTCTTTGTTAACAACAGACATTGTGTTGTATGCTTCTTTGTTAACAACAGGTATTGTGTTGCATTTGTATTCAAATATAATGGACATTATGTTATATTTCTGTTCAAAAACAACAGACATGCATTTTTTTTTAGCAGCTTGTGTGGGAATAGTTGTTTGGTGAAGATATCACAAACGTTTGTGTTGTGTAGTACCTTTGATCTTGTTACATAAAATATCATACATTTTAATCAACTAGAGAAAAGTAAGTGCGGAAATAAGAGAAGAGAAAAGGCTGTGTATGATTTGTGGATAAGCTGATGACAAAAGAAGGAAAGCATGGAATCTGTTATCCAATATAAAAAGAAAGAAACATGAGTTTGCTACAATAATTTTTTGAAAATGTTCTGAAACAGAAACTACTAGACCATAAGTTGTTACAGTCACACTTAGTGCATGAATGTTCACGGGTTTCTTTATACTTGTTTTGTTAGGCTACAGTAGTCTTAGTGTGGGTTCTGGGGTCCCTTTGTGGGGAAAACAAGAATAGATCCACTGCCCTCCCAACAAGCATGTCGTAGGAAATGACTAATTTAGAGCTTGTTAAGTAGCCTAGAAATGGTACTGTTAACCATGCGACCCAGATGAACATGTTGAAGAGGAAATCTGAGCACCTGTGGATGTCTCCAGAATACTGTGAAAATAATCCAATCCATAGCTCATCTCAGCTCATAATTGGGAGCTTAATTCGAAGTCGGATTGCATCTGCCTGAGCGGCAAGGAACAACAACAGCACACAAGTAAGCCGGTAAAACAGATGTACATGCAAAACTCAGGCCCTGGTACAAAGTCAGCATTCAAAGGGATGACAAACCAGAACTTTCCGCTGAAGCTTACAGCCAGTGAAAGATGAAGAAGAAGAAGATCAGGCTACAGCAAGGTTTTCATCTGTGTTTAGAATTGTCATAAATGGGGCTCCCTGCACATTCTATCCATTTACTTGAAAACTTATATCAACAACAACAAACAGTTGTCAGAGTGGCTGGTGAAATATCAGACTGGCTTGAGGAGCAACTTGGAGTAATATAGTATTGCATCCTCTAATATAGATTGCATCCTCTCTCTCCATGCCTGTTCAACATCTAAGAAGAAAGTTTAGTGAGAGGCAACAAAAATGATGCGACATTTGTCCATTTTGCTCTACTCAAAATTGGTGGAAATCATATTACAGAACTCAGCAGATTACACCGTCAGTCTCTCAAACGGTGCAAATGCATTACAATTGTTCATTTTGTATGATGATGTTTTCAGGTAACCGCTACAATGGAAAATTGGAAGTTTACAGAATATATTTATTTGATGTGATCATGTTTTTGAACAACAGAATAGTGAAATGTATAGCCTACATTCGACATTCTAATGTTCTCAGACAGCAAGAGAATATTTGAGTTTAGAGCGTTAAAGTTGAGAGGATCGACTTTATTGCTCGGTCCATTCGCAGAATGGTTAGCTGCCTGCAGAGAGTGTCACACAAAATATGAACACTGTAGCTCCTGTGGTAATTCCCCTTTCACTGAACTGCAGCAACAGAAAGTTGGTATGAATTAATCTTGGCAATGCTGAAGGTCGAAAGAACAAAGACACTTGATTTTCAAAGGGTTACAAATTGGGCACGCATGCCTGTCCTACATTCGGCCCTTCTAAGCACTCATCTTGAAAACCACCATTGCATGTTATCAATAATACAAGTTGTGTCTACATGAAATATATAACTCAAATATAATAAAATAATGCATACATATATACATAATCATACACACTCAAAAAACCCACATACATATTTTCTTGCATGCTAAGAAAATACACAGACACATACGCACTCATGTATATATATATATATATATACACAAGCACATATTCGTATAATACACACACACACATACTCATATACATATATACATACCTTACATACATACATACATACATACATACATACATACATACATTCATTCATACATACATACATACATACATACATACATACATACACAGACACTCATAGGCATACAAACACCACACACACACACTCATATACATACATACAGACACATTCATATACATACACACACATATATACATACACACATACAGGCATGTGTACGTAGAAACATGCACACACAAACACACATGCATATGTATATATGTACATACGTACATACATACACACACATATATACATACACACATACAGGCATGTGTACGTAGAAACATGCACACACAAACACACATGCATATGTATATTACATCATCATTATCATCAAGCACATAATAAGTTCATATCTTTTATTCTGTGTTGTTTCTCTGTCTCCAGCATCAGTGTTATCATGTGTACAACAGCCAGATGTACAGTCTATATCTCTAATTCTGTATTGTTTCTCTGTCTCCAGCATCAGTGTTATCATGTGTACAACAGCCAGATGTACAGTCTATATCTCTAATTCTGTATTGTTTCTCTGTCTCCAGCATCAGTGTTATCATGTACAACAGTGGGATGTACAGTCTATATCTCTAATTCTGTATTGCTTCTCTGTCTCCAGCATCAGTGTTATCATGTGTACAACAGCCGGATGTACAGTCTATCCAGAAACCAGCATTTTTAAAACCTCTCGTAAGTTTCTTTTTTTTTAAAATTCATCTTTCGTATTCTACCCTTGGATGTAGAGAAGATGCAGGGGTGTCAATGTGTGTATAGTTCTGTTGACCTAACATGAGTTGATTGTCCATCACAAGAGATAAAGACAACTTTACATCCAAACTTTATAATGATCAAAGATTGTGAGTGCGAACATGGCTGATGAACCCAATTTAAGCCTGGGAGGTTCTCTAACTGTGTGGACAACAGATGGAAATGTCAGTTGAGGTGGGATTTACCACACAGTTTTCTTCTGGTCTGCCTGTGTTTCTCCTCCAGTGCAACCCATGCTGCCTGACAGGCTGATGCACCATGTTTGAGGACTGAACTAAACAAATAAATATGTGAGACACAGAATTGTGCCTGAGACCTTCTCAGCAGTACATAGTTAGTTGTACAGCCAATAAAATGAGAATCCATATTTAGACTCTGGATTCATCAATACAACGTATTTCTCTTTTGTGGAGAGAAAAGGAAATTGGCGTGAAAGAATATAGTAAAATTAGAAAGTATTTAATTTATATATAAACGAGATGACCATAACAAGCTACAGACTGATGTTGCCAGAACTAAACAGACAAGTAGACTGAGATAACAAGAAAACAGCTATTGAATATGCATAGCTATTGAATATGCATTTATTGACTGAGGTCAAATAGATAAATAAACAAATATTCTTTAGCTGTCCTTTTAGCTGTATGTATCTATTGACTGAGATCAAAACAAACAGGCAGATAGACTGGCTGGTTCTGCACCACCTGGTGGTGGATTGACCTATGACAAGCTAGATATTGTGAGGGCCCTTTAGAGTTGAGAGAAAAATACGGAGGCACAAAAAGATCATTACAATCTGAAGAGAATGGCACTGCGAGGAGTTACTAGGAATCTGGCCATTGCTCAGCACTCAAGGAAAGGGCGAGACAGATACACAGTCAGACAGCTACTGGTGTCATTGGAATTGGAACTCATCACTTGCTGCTGAAGATGGGGATGGAGCGCTTATGTTAGTGCCAGAGTGCTGTGATTAAATTCTTATTTCAACATTTTGGGTGAGGTCAGGCAGTAACATAGGATCTAGAATCTGTTTCACTTGTTTTCCTTCAACTATTATGGTGCAAGTTTTGTCACCACTGTTTGTAGTATCATTCCCTATAGCAAAAATAAACAGCTAAACTCTTCATTTTTCTATGAACACACTCACCAGACAAAATCACCATATTGAGGTGAAATTCAAACTGTTCTATACTTGTACACAGTCTAAATTAATATGGCTAGCATTTTAAAAAGTGTCCAGTTACCCGTTTATGTTTACTTGATTACTTCCACACAGTTAACTAGTTGCTCTAACTTCTGTTGGTGTTTGTTTAATTTTTTTCTCATGCAAGCCATGATTGTGGTTTTTGTATTGATGTGACGACCCTGTTTCAGCACCAGACGACGAGTCGTCATATATCGGAGCTATTGTAGGTGGTGTCCTGGGTGGACTGGCACTGGTCGCTGTTATTGGTGTCATCATTTTTCTTGCCAGGCATTATGGGGGAAACAGAAAGGCAGATCAACAAAGGTAAAGTGTTTTCTTCTGATGTGAAATCTGTATGCTTTAATCATTCTTATATCAGAGGTCATGAGATTTTTATGGATATTTTGTACAGCCCATGTATTGGTTTTTGGGAATGAGCACCCATAACTGTGCAGAATATCAGAATAAGGAAAAAAAATACATCATATATTAAAGGGCCTACATGTGAAAAGAAAAGGCTACCACTGATAGAATATATGAATCAGGTCATGAGATGTGTTGACAACTTGTTAACTCTTTGAGTCCCAAGGAATGCATCATACGTTCATAGGTTGCTACCTAGAAGCCCAATGAACGCATGATGCGCCGATTTTATGGCTCTCTCTACTACCCCCTGGGCCTGTGATGCTAAACCCCCTGGGACTCAAAGAGTTAAAGATCGTTTAGGAGAGGTTAAAAAATAATGATGCAGCAATATATCACAACTAAAATTCCTGTATGAAAGATTTTAATTGTTAAGTTAAATTTAAATAATTTTAAGTTATGAAAAATTGTCAGTTTAAACAGGAATGGCAAGCATGTTGAAGCTACACCGTATAGAATAGAAAAGGCTTTGCACAACCTAGCATCTCTCTAAGAAGACAATTGTGTGAAAATCAAAATTGTTCAAAAAAAGTGAACAAAACATAGAAAGTCCTCTGTTATGAATTTTAATGGACACCTCATATCTTTGGTTATAACCAAGCATTTTCTTTTCTCTCTCTCTCTCTCTCTCTCTCTCTCTCTCTCTCTCTCTCTCTCTCTCTCTCTCTCTCTCTCTCTCTCTCTCTCTCTCTCTCTGTCTCTCTGTATTTGTGTGTGTGTATGATTGTGTATATACAATGTGTGTATGCATTATTTCATTGTGTATATTTTGATATAGACATAACATGCATTATTGATCATGCAATTGGGGTCAGAAAGATGAGTGCCTGCAGGCCTGCCTACCCAATTTGTAACCCTTTGAAAATAATGTTCATTTGTTCATTCGCTGGTTATCTGTCTGTCTGTCTGTCTGTCTGTCTGTCTGTCTGTCTGTCTGTCTGTCTGTCTGTCTGTCTGTCTGTCTGTCTGTCTGTCTGTCTGTCTGTCTGTCTGTCTGTCTGTCTGTCTGTCTGTCTGTCTCTCTGTCTGTCTGTCTGTCTCTCTCTCTCTCTCTCTCTCTCTCTGTCTCTCTGTCTGTCTCTCTCTCTCTCTCTCTCTCTCTCTCTCTCTCTCTCTCTCTAATTAATCTACTCTCTCTTTATACAGTGCAAATATATCTCTCATCTCTCTCTGGAGCAAGTCTCTCTTATGCCTCTCTCAATGATCTTATCACTCTTTAAAATTCTCTCTCCTCTCTCTAATCTATGTTACTGTTTTATCCTTTATACAGTGTCAAATACTGTACTCACTCCCTATTTGAGCTGGAGCAAATTCTTATGAACCCAATGCCCCTTCATCTTATTATCACATTTTAAAAATTATGTACCATTAAGTGTTTTCTATGTCACAGTTTTGGGTCTGCTTGAGAGTCGAGGAACCAACAGTCTGTCATACATACTACTGTGACTCACTAGGGGTGTTGACTTCTAAGTCAAATCAGCTTGAAGGCAAGGATCACCTTAATGAGCATGCCATAGGAGGTGACTAACTAGGGGTGTTTACTTCTAAGTCACAGTGGGTCTGCTTGAGAGGCGAGGAACCAACAGTCTGCATACATATAGGTGACTAACTAGGGGTGTTTACTACCAAGTCACAGTGGGTCTGCTTGAGAGGCGAGGAACCAACAGTCTGCATACATATAGGTGACTAACTAGGGGTGTTTACTTCTAAGTCACAGTGGGTCTGCTTGAGAGGCAAGGAACCAACAGTCTGCATACATATAGGTGACTAACTAGGGGTGTTCACTTCTAAGTCACAGTGGGTCTGCTTGAGAGGCGAGGAACCAACAGTCTGCATACATATAGATGACTAACTAGGGGTGTTTACTACCAAGTCACAGTGTTTCTGCTTGAGAGGCAAGGAACCAACAGTCTGCATACATATAGGTGACTAACTAGGGGTGTTTACTACCAAGTCACAGTGGGTCTGCTTGAGAGTCGAGGAACCAACAGTCTGCATACATATAAGCCAGATTTACAAAATGGATGTGCACGCAAATGTTGATTTCTGGAACAACACTAAAGACCAGAAGCGGATGAACAACCGGAACTTTCTACCAGATTTTAGAGCCGGTGAACATTAAGAAGAAGAATTATATCTTCTATATAGACACAAGAATAGAAAGAAGAGTTGCTAGAAAGTGTGCAGATGTAGAAGCATTTCTCACATGTTTGCATTGACCAGTCTGCCCTGAGCTTAAGTTGTGTTGTTATTCCCTCTGCTCTGCTAGGCCACCTGTAGAAATTATCAAGGAAATTGTCAGGAAAAGGTAAATCTGTGCCAGATGTACTTACTTGTCACTGTTTGTGCTGCATGGTGACATGCATAATTTTGATTTTGCACTTGGCGACTGTTTGTACATACTTTTTTTTTTAACAAAAGGCCTTTTTCTACGCCTTTATGCATATAGGACTATACCTATATTTTACAGACCATTGAGGACTCAGTGGGTGATGTAGTCAACATCACGCCAACTGCCTTTACTTCCCAGGACTTTACCCGGTACCAAATTAAGGTTGTGTGAAGCTGGAAGCCAAGGTCATTTTTGAAAAAAAGTCCGGCTCCACTTGGATTTGAACCTTTAAGGTGGTTATTTAAGAGGTTTATCTCGTACATGCAGATACAGTAATACAATATAATTCAAAACAAATGCAAAACAATACTGCCCTTTATGGTATGTTTGTCTTCTCCACATTTCCTACATTTGTCTGCTTTGTTAAAGAAGCTTTGCTGAATTACAGCTGGCCAAATGGTAAGAATGCAGGGCTGTCATCTAGGAGACCCAGGTTCGAATCTTTGTTTTTTCTGTTCGGGGTGTAAATAAAATCCTGATCTGCGTAGTCCATGGCGACAGCACTCAGCATGCCACCCTGAATCCTCTGGCTTAAAAACACTACTCTCCCCTCCCCCCCCCCCCCCAAGTGTTAAATACAGGCACTAATTGCCATTTTTTTTTTTTTTTTTTGCAGTCTTGTTTATTGGTCTTTATTGTTGTTGATATTAACGAGACTGTCAGCCACAAAGATTTGTGAATATGACATTTTCTGTCTCAGAACCTTTTAACTTAGGTCTGTCACATTCCAACTGAGGTCTGTCACATTCTAACTGAGGTCTGTCGCATTCTAACTGAGGTCTGTCACATTCTAACTGAGGTCTGTCACATTCTAACTGAGGTCTGTCACATTCTAACTGAGGTCTGTCACATTCTAACTGAGGTCTGTCACATTCTAACTGAGGTCTGTCACCTTCTAACTGAGGTCTGTCACAGTATGAGCTGTTTCTTTACTGATGTAGTTGATGAGATGTTTAGAAGCTCACAAAATTTGTCTGCATTCAAATAAATAAATTCCCTGTGTGGGCTCCGGGGTCCACTTGTGGGGAAAAACAACGATAGAACAACTGCCTGCACAACAAACATGTCCTAAAAGTCTACTAATTGGGGCTTTCCTTTGAAGTGCATCTGCCTAAGAGGCAAGGAACCAACAGTCTGCATACAGATATGTCAGATCTGTAAAACGGATGTGCATGCAACACTCAAGTTCTGGAACAAGACAAAAGTCCAGAAGTGGATGAGCAATCAGAACCTTCAGCCAGAATTACAGCCGGTGGAACGCGAGGAAAAGGAAAAAATAAATAAGTTTTTAAAATTGCAGGATGCGGCTTTTCATGATGTGAACATTTTCATTTGCACTGTTCAGTTTCTGCCAGTTTCTTGCTTAGTGAAGTTGTCAAGGAAAAAAAAACAGCGTTGATACCCAATCTATGAGCTAAACAGGATCACATTAAACATATGTGTCTGTCCATCAATTTTCTAATGTCATCCCCTTGGCTTTTTTTTTTTTCTTTTTTTCACTGGCATACTCTCAACACATGAGTTAATCAATTCTGCTAGTAAGTGGATTTTTTTTTTTTTCAGTTTAATTATATGATTGCCTATGCCATTTGGTAAGGTAGTTAGTGATGATGAAGATAGAGAGGCACATTCACCTTAATCATGGTAGTAGTCACATCATCATTATGCACTTTACCAGTTGGTGTAGGCGCTCATGCATCTCCACAGATCATGATCCCTTGTTGCCTGGAACAGCTCTCTTGATGATATCCCTCCATGCCATCGTTACAGTCCATTCAGCATCATCTCTCTTGGTCTGCCTCTACCCCTCTTTCCACTGATCTTTCCAGTTGTCACGATGTTCTCCAATGTCTCTCTTCTCATTATGTGGCCAAAGAATAGTGTTTGTCTCCTTCTTATTCTTGTATACAGATATCTACTTTCATTGGCTTCTTTCTAACAATCGTCGTTATTTATTCTGGCTGTCCAAGGTATTCGTAACATTCATCTCAGAAACCACATCTCTGTTGCTTCCAGATTCTTCTTAATTTTTTTCAGTATATTCCAAGATTTGCTGCCATACAACAGAACAGGTTCTATGTAACATTTTAGCACTCTCTTTTTGACATTAAATGAGAGCGAGTTATTGCGTAAGATATTTTTCATTTTCTGAAATGCTGCCTTCACTTGACCTTTTCTGCTTGTAATCTCTGTCACACATTTTCCATCTGATGATATGATTGTTCCCAGATATTTTAATTTATTGACTTGGTTAAGCTTTTTTCCTTCAACTAATATATCACAACATGGAGTTATCTTCTTCTTTGATATAACCATTACTTCCATTTTCTCATTGTTCAATGAAAGTCCTTTCTTAGCACTCTCCATCCCCACAATATCCAGCAGTTGTAAATCAGTTGTGTTTTCAGCTATCAAAACTGTATTGTCTGCATAACGCAAATTGTTTATATTGTATCCTCCCACTTTTATCTGTGCTTTTTCTTTTATTTCCCTCAAAATTACTTCACTATATAGATAGAAAAGGTCTGGGGATAAGACACATCCCTGTCTTACTCCTTGCTTTTATGGTATTCACAACTCATATTAAACCAAACCACAAATCAGAGTTGTTGATGTCACTTATTTCTGATGTAGATGCTGTTTGCACATTTCTGTCTTTCCAGATGATAGTATTCCATTGGGCTGTAGGGAAGCATGGGAGTGAATGGAAATTAGTTGATCCTCTTCTCTGTTGCACAAAACCTGAACAGTATTGCAGCAAGCATGTATGGCCCATGCAGCACAATCCCACATGACCTGTTTTGTTAACTCTAAAGGAAAGGTAACACTAATGTACATTTGGAATAAAGCAGGCTACAGAAGCTGCCAGATCAGAAAAGAAGCTCTGTCTATCCACCAGTAGGAATTCCTTCTAGACCAGTTGCTAACCAACACTAAGGCCTGCCCCGCCATAACATAAAGTTTTTAGGTTGCTTTTGCTTTTCATAGGAAAAGACTGGCACCTTCTCCAGTGTGCTGCTCTGACCGGTGCCATTATTACAATGTGAGAGGACATAGTATATTCTGCATTTGGCGTTAACAAAGAACAGATAATACCCACTACTGTTATACTGTAGCTCAGTCTTATTTGACCAAGCCTGATTCAGTGAAATGCAAGGATATAAATACAAACAAACAGTTCTGTACTTATAGCGTTTTTTTTTTTTTTTTTTTTTTTGCTTTTTTGTTGAATCCCCAGACCAGTACGAATGAGAGACTTCAGTGACCATGTCGCCAAATTCCACAAGGACTCCAATCTCTTGTTTCAGGATGAGTTTGAGGTACCACTGTGGTTGTCCCTTCATTAACTCTTTGAGTCCCAAGGAACGCATCATACGTTCATAGGTTCCTACGTAGAAGCCCAATGAACGCATGATGCACCGATTTTATTACTTTCTTTACTACCCACTGGGCCTGTGATGCTAAACCCCCTGGGACTCAAAGAGTTAAGCAATTGAATAATGTTTATCGGGTGATTGCTTCAGGAAAACCATGTGGGAGCCACCCATTGTTATATTAGCCATAACAGAATGGGAGTTATTAGCTTAAAAACACTTCGACATACTCAGGAGGAGATGGGAGCACTTATGGCCATGTCAGATGTGTGATGAAGATGATCTTTATAATGAACAATGTTTTAGTTAGATGAACTGGGAAGCACTGTGTTGTTGACTTTGTGCATAAATGAAGTTGATTCAGTTAACAGATTAAGGTATTTCACTGTGTCTGTTTATATCCATTGGTCACCTTTGCTAACTAAAAGTCTGTCTTCTTTAGTTGCCCATTCATGAGCAGACATTGGCAGTCTTAACTTTCCAAGTGCTTGTATTTTTTTTTTGTCCAGATGTTGAAGCTTCTACATACATTTTTTTTTTTATTCGGTCTCTGCCTCACTTGCTTGGTACTTTCTCACCTCTGGTTACTTTTTGTATTCCTGCTCTTCTTTTCATGGCTCACACATTCCCTTTGCCTATTATTGCTTTTGATAATGAATATTGCAGCACTCAGTATCTCAACGTTTGTCCAGAATCCATAATATTGTCAACATTAATACATACAAACAGGTCATGCACGACTTGTTACCAGGAATGAATATTGCAGCACTCAGTTTCTCAACGTTTGTCCAGAATCCATAATATTGTCAACATTGATACATACAAACAGGTCATGCACGACTTGTTACCAGGAATGAATATTGCAGCACTCAGTATCTCAACGTTTGTCCAGAATCCATAATATTGTCAACATTGATACATACAAACAGGTCATGCACGACTTGTTACCAGGAATGAATATTGCAGCACTCAGTATCTCAACGTTTGTCCAGAATCCATAATATTGTCAACATTGATACATACAAACAGGTCATGCACGACTTGTTACCAGGAATGAATATTGCAGCACTCAGTTTCTCAACGTTTGTCCAGAATCCATAATATTGTCAACATTGATACATACAAACAGGTCATGCACGACTTGTTACCAGGAATGAATATTGCAGCACTCAGTTTCTCAACGTTTGTCCAGAATCCATAATATTGTCAACATTGATACATACAAACAGGTCATGCACGACTTGTTACCAGGAATGAATATTGCAGCACTCAGTTTCTCAACGTTTGTCCAGAATCCATAATATTGTCAACATTGATACATACAAACAGGTCATGCACGACTTGTTACCAGGAATGAATATTGCAGCACTCAGTTTCTCAACGTTTGTCCAGAATCCATAATATTGTCAACATTGATACATACAAACAGGTCATGCACGACTTGTTACCAGGAATGAATATTGCAGCACTCAGTTTCTCAACGTTTGTCCAGAATCCATAATATTTTCAACATTGATACATACAAACAGGTCATGCACGACTTGTTACCAGGAATGAATATTTTAGCATCTGCTGTCAGTTCTAGTCTGATTCATACCATAAGGTTTTCAAGTGACAGGTCTTCACATAGAATTCATTAAGGTACTATGAGGTGAGGTGACCATCTTCCTTACCCATCGCTTGTCTCCAGTATTGATTAAATGCATAAGGAAAGTAGAAGTCCCATCTCCATGGATTGAGACATTGTGTGAGCACCATATGTTTATAGATCTGTCAGCACTTGGTGGCTGAGGTAGTCAGTATTGAGTTGGCTGCTTTTACTTCCCAGGAATTTCCTAGTACCATATTTTAGGCTAGGTTGACTTTAGAACTTTGTTAGAACTTTGGTTAGTTTTTAATTATCCACCTCAATGGGGATTCAAACATCTGACCTCTGGAGTTTTGCACGTACAAACAAGCTGACCATTGTGGCACCATGACTTTTAGAGCATTACAGCTAGCTGTCAGCTAGACGTTAAACCTTGACAGCTGTGCCAGCTAGGGGTTAAATCCTGGTTGGTAACTGTCAACTAGGGGTTAAACCCTGACAGCTAACTGTCAACTAGGTGGTAAACCTGACAGCTGTATCAACTAGGGTTAAACCCTGACAGCTAACTGTCAACTAGGTGGTAAACCTGACAGCTGTATCAACTAGGGTTAAGCCCTGACAGGTAACTGTCAACTAGGTGGTAAACCTGACAGCTGTATCAACTAGGGTTCAACCCTGACAGGTAACTGTCAACTAGGTGGTAAACCTTACAGTTGTATCAACTAGGGTTAAGTCCTGACAGGTAACTGTCAACTAGGGGTTACACCCTGACAGCTAACTGTCAACTAGGTGGTAAACCTGACAGCTGTGTTAACCGGGCAGGAATCTATTTACTGAGCTGCACTGCTATTGACTACACAGAAATTAGATATAATATATTATTATTGTGTTGGTGATCATGAGCAAAACTGTCAGTTTCTAGATATCCAAGCTCAGAGCAGTGAACATGTAGTCAGTTGTGGCTTGGACCACTGGTTAGCTGTCTAGGTGTCAACAAGTATTGTTTGTTTACAGAACATTCGGAATGTATCCGACACCTTCAACAACACCTGTGATGAAGCCAAACGTGAACAGAACAGAGTGAAAAATCGATACGCAGACATCTTGCCATGTAAGTAATCATTTCCTCATATGTGAACATCATTTCCTCACATGTGAACATCAATTTCCTGATGCAACAATTCCATCTTTATTTAAAACGTGTCATCTTGCCAGAATGTCAACACAAATATCAGGTATCAACAATTGTAGAGTGTGGTGAACCTCAAGCCAGCCACCTTTACTTCGCAGGACTTTACCGGCTACTTGTTTAAGGATGGTTTGATCTAGTTACCAAGGTAAAGTTTAAAAATGCAGTTGCAAGCAGATTTGAACTTACAACCTTCAGATCTGCAGGTGAGCATCTAGCCGCTACACCACGGCAGCTCCAGTAGCTATATTAAGACTTGTTTTTAACTCCAGCGTCATGTTCTATATCCAGTTACGTAGTGAACAATGATGTGTCTGTATCCATGTCCTGCCATGTCCGTTCCCACATACTTTTTGTTACATTACTGTTGATTGCTAGTGTTGAGCTATTTCTTGTGATTGCTTGTTTTCTTGCTAAACCTTTCCTGAAACTTTACAATGTGAACAATTCCACAGATGACCGCAGTCGTGTCAAGTTGAACATCCTCTCAGATGATGATGAAACCAATGACTTCATTAATGCTAACTACATTCCTGTGAGTGTATTCTTAATTTTCTTTAAATACTTGACAATTCTAACAGGTTATTAAAGCAACATGCGAGCCATTGTTCTGTGTACTTTTATCATTCAAAAAACATTAATAAGTGTCATTGTCACAATACACTAAGACAGATACACTTGTGCATCTTTGTCCCAAATTTATGATGCAATGGGGAGTGACCAGAAGATTTGGCTGACACTCCAAACCCAAAAGGAAAGGCAATGCAGTCAGAGTGTTACTGGTACCATCAAAGCTGGAACTCTTCGCTGGCTGCTAAAAGTGGGGACGGAGTGCTTATGGTAATATCTTGGGTGCTGTGATGTCAGTTGTTGAAACTCAGCTCAACTTTGTGATAAATCCAGTATTTGACAATGATGATTTCTGAATTGATGTGACAGAGGTTAGTGTGCTCGTAATGGGTCAACACAGTCTGAGGAGAATGGTTTCTGGAGAAGTTATCAGGGCATCTGGCCCATGCTCAACACTCACGGGAAGTGTGAGACAATTATACAATCAGCCAGGGGTTCTAGCCCAAGCTTAACACTCATGGGAAATGTCAGACGGATATACACTCAGTACCATGGGACCTGGAGCTGAAGATGGGGCCGGAGCATTTATGGAAATGTCGGGTTCTGCTGTTGAGGAAAGGAACTGGACAGCCCAGCTCACAGAATGTGTGGAGGCTCATTACTTCAAACCTCAATGGCTGTGTCAGTTATGGAACGACCTGTACCTGTTCAGTCTCTGAAAGTAGTGGTTTCTTCTTCTTCTCATTTATCTGAAGATGTCAATGTGTGGTGCTGGTTTACAACATGGCTACAATATTTGCACCTTTCCTCTGACACATCCAGCTTCTGCAGGAATTTGTTACCCGGGTTAGCCCTCCTTAGTAGTTGTAGGGGACATTGCAGTGTTTTTTCTCCACAGGTGTTGTCACCTTACAGGCTGGTCCAGAACAGCTACTTATTGCAGGTCAGCCCTCAGGAGAAGGCAGGGGGCAGAGCATGAGCATTCCCTGCCATCCAGGAAGGCTTCCATAAATGGAGAGCCGATACATGGTACTTTTGTACTGGGCTTACCCATTGTGGCACCCTGACTGTTTAACCTCACTTCCTTATACTGAGCCTCAAAGGTAGTGGTTTAACTGTTATCACTTCCATATACTGAGCCTCAAAGGTAGTGGTTTAACTGTTATCACTTCCATATACTGAGCCTCAAAGGTAGTGGTTTAACTGTTATCACTTCCATATACTGAGCCTCAAAGGTAGTGGTTTAACTGTTATCACTTCCATATACTGAGCCTCAAAGATAGTGGTTTAACTGTTATCACTTCCATATACTGAGCCTCAAAGATAGTGGTTTAACTGTTATCACTTCAATATACTGAGCCTCAAAGGTAGTGGTTTAACTATTATCACTTCCATATACTGAGCCTCAAAGGTAGTGGTTTAACTGTTATCACTTCCATATACTGAGCCTCAAAGGTAGTGGTTTAACTGTTATCACTTCCATATACTGGGCCTCAAAGGTAGTGGTTTAACTGTTATCACTTCCATATACTGAGCCTCAAAGGTAGTGGTTTAACTGTTATCACTTCCATATACTGAGCCTCAAAGGTAGTGGTTTAACTGTTATCACTTCCATATACTGGGCCTCAAAGGTAGTGGTTTAACTGTTATCACTTCCATATACTGAGCCTCAAAGGTAGTGGTTTAACTGTTATCACTTCCATATACTGAGCCTCAAAGGTAGTGGTTTAACTGTTATCACTTCCATATACTGAGCCTTAAAGGTAGTGGTTTAACTGTTATCACTTCCATATACTGAGCCTCAAAGATAGTGGTTTAACTGTTATCACTTCCATATACTGAGCCTCAAAGATAGTGGTTTAACTGTTATCACTTCCATATACTGAGCCTCAAAGGTAGTGGTTTAACTGTTATCATTGTAACATGTTGTTGGAGATCCTGGTTAGCACTGGCTTTTTTCTCTTGGACATATATCAGTAGGCTAAGTCAATGTGAAGGCTTTGTAATGCCGTGGTACCGGGTTTGATCCCAGCTGCAGGCCTTGCGCCTTGCGTTGGTTTCGACAGTGGTATCAGGGAGCCGACCGTCCAGAAAGCAATGGCAAACTACTGGATGTAAATTTGCCTAGAGAAACCACACAACGGCCAGGGGCTGCTGAGGTTGGTTCTGCAACGTCCTGTAAAGGATACACAACTAACCTTATATCAGTAGGGGATACCATAACAGCCTTCTGGAACTTTGTTTTAAAGGGACATGATCACTCACATTTGCTGCCAGGAGGTGGGGAGGAGAAGGAGATGTTTTGAAATGTATCCATTCCAGAACCATGTAAAGGACTACGACGGCTGTTAATTTGTGTCAGCCACAAGAGTTTTTGTTCTTGGAATAGTGACTAACCAGCCTGTTGAGAGTGAATCACAGCATCAGTTTTTGACACAGTGTCAGAATTTGGATGTTTCTTTGCTTGAAGTTCGGTAGATAAAAGATCCTGTGGAGGAAGGCTAGTAACCTCATCTGTTAACCATAACTTGGTGTGTGCTGCCTGAATATGGGCATCTGCACCAAGATCTGCTATGGGATTAATTGACATGGTACATTGATTGATTTCCTCAGGGCTATAGTTCTGTGAGAGAATACATTGCTACCCAGGGCCCTCTGTATTCTACAATACCAGATTTCTGGAAGATGATTTGGGAGCAGAAGTGTCAGATGATCATCATGTTGTCAGATCTCACAGAGGGGGGAAAGGTAACTGTACTCATGTATTCCTTTGTGGAACCCCTTGTTAGGTCTCCATTCATTGATTCTCCTTTTAAAACACTTTAGTTAATATACTGACACTAGATATCTAAAACACGTTAGTTAATGTACTCACACTAGATGTCTAAAACACATTAGTTAATAGACTCACACTAGATGTCTAAAACACGTTAGTTAATATACTGACACTAGATGTCTAAAACACGTTAGTTAATATACTGACACTAAATATCTAAAACACGTTAGTTAATATACTGACACTAGATATCTAAAACACATTAGTTAATATACTGAAACCAGTTATCTAAAACACGTTAGTTAATATACTGACACTAGATGTTTAAAACACATTAGTTAATATACTGTTACTAGATATCTCAAACACATTAGGTAATATACTGACACCAATTATCTAAAACACGTTGGGTAATATACTGACACCAATTATCTAAAACACATTAGTTAATATACTGACACTAGATATTTAAAACACATTAGTTAATATACTGACACCAATTATCTAAACCACGTTAGGTAATATACTGACACCAATTATCTAAAACACATTAGTTAATATACTGACACTAGATATTTAAAACACATTAGTTAATATACTGACACCAATTATCTAAAACACATTAGTTAATATACTACTACAACAAATTACTTACCATATTTGTCAGTATTAGTAAGTACTTAGAACAAACAAATGTATCTTTTACATTGACAGATACAATATATATTATATTTTGTGTGTGTGCATTTAGAGTTTCCTCTTCTACCAACTGGTATAAAATACCATATGGTACAGTTGTTTTAACTGATTCTTAAATCAGACCATTATATGGAATGGTTGAACTAAATCTGTCAGTGTTAGATAGGATTAAATTTCTGTTCTTCTCTACATTAACTGGGAGGACTAGCACACAAGACCACAGATGGTCTAATTAATGCCTGCATATAATGAATCACAGAATGGGAGGACTAGCACACAAGACCACAGATAGTCTAATTAATGCCTGCATGTAATGAATCACAGAATGGGAGGACTAGCACACAAGACCACAGATAGTCTACTTAATGCCTGCATATAATGAATCACAGAATGGGAGGACTAGCACACAAGACCACAGATAGTCTACTTAATGCCTGCACATAATGAATCACAGAATGGGAGGACTAGCACACAAGACCACAGATAGTCTACTTAATGCCTGCATATAATGAATCACAGAATGGGAGGACTAGCACACAAGACCACAGATAGTCTACTTAATGCCTGCACATAATGAATCACAGAATGGGAGGACTAGCACACAAGACCACAGATAGTCTAATGAATGCCTGCATATAATGAATCACAGAATGGGAGGACTAGCACACAAGACCACAGATAGTCTAATTAATGCCTGCATGTAATGAAAATTGAAATATTTTGGTCACTTGAAACGTCATGGAGGTCTAGAGAGAACAATAATGGAGGGGTATATGCCTGGGAAGAGAGGAAGAGGAAGGCCAAGGAGAAGATGGGTGCAGGATGTGGCAGATGATCTCCAGATGGGTGTATCAGACGCAGGACATCTTGCTCATGATAGGAAGGTTTTCCGGAGGGTTGTTATGGCAGCGAGGTTCCGCGAGGGACATGCTACTGAATGAATGAATGAATGTAATGAATCACATAATGGAATTCCACAGAGAAAAGTTGACTTGTACTGGCCAGAGAATCTGAATGAGCCTATCAATTATGGCAGTGTGGTGGTGGAGATGACCAACTTCTCACAGCTCAACACGTACATCATACGTAACTTTAAACTCATCAAGGTGAGTGACTTTCTTTGTAACTAATGTTTGAGTACTTACATTTTTATTCACCCCAAACAAAGGGAATCTGGGAGTTCCCTGGAAAGTGTTTTAAGTTTGTTATGGGTTGCAATTAGGGTTAGCACAAAAATCAAACTGACCTTTGTCAACCCCGACTGCTTCAGAGACACAGACTAACTCTTACCCCAACCCATAACACCCCTAGAATATTGAACTGTCCTAAGAACTCCCAGCTTTCCTTTGTTTTTAGTGAATAAAAATTAAAGTAGCAGTGTTTTTTCTCAACTTGTAATGTGTGTCTGTTCTTATCCTGTCATGTGTATGTCAGCTTATCTAACACCAGAAATAATCATTTACTTTTATTTAGTTTCATTTGTCATGGATCTCCCAGGGCTGCTCATGGTCATTTCAAAGACAGGTTCACAAAATAATTATGACAATATTTTACTACAGCAGAATTATTAATAACATCCATTTAATGTTCATGGTTTGAGGGGTCAGCCAAAATATGTTTTGTGCACGTTTTTATTTTTACTAATTTGGAAATCTCTACATCAGCAGACGTGAACATTTGCTTCTAGTAAGTGTTGCCAGATAAGCATTAGCAACATTGCTAATCAGTACTCATTGCTGTGCAAGTAACTGCTGAAAAAAGTGCATTATTATAATAATCTGTCTCTAATCACTCACTGGATAAATTTAATTTGCCACCAGTTGCTGAAGGTTGAATTCGATTTGCCAAAGGTTGAATTTGATTTGTAAAATACTGAATTTGTAGACCTGTCAGTATTTGAGGGGTCATGCGGTCAACATCATGCCGCCCTCCTTTGTTTCCTAAGACTTTACCTCATACCACTGTTAGGGTTGGCCTACCTTGGAGCCACCATCAGTTTTGGAAGAAAAATAAGGCCATCCTCCAAATAATGGGCACAAAAGATGGCGGCCAATGGTGTCCACAAACAGGGCCTCAGTCACGTGTCAAATGCGCACTTCCAGCGACCTAATTTGCGGTTTTCCGGCGACTACCGCTACCACCTAGAGTATCCCTCACGCGACGTGGATTGGGGCTAAACTAGATGGCTAGGACTCATAAGCACAGCTGCAGGAGATGCGGGAGCTGTTGCTCATGAGTCCTAGCCATCTAGTTTAGCCCCAATCCACGCCGCGTGGGTGATACACTCGGCGGTGGCAGTAGTCGCTGGAAAACCGCAAATTAAGTCGCCGGAAATGCGCAGTTGGCGCGTGACTGAGGCTCTGTTAGGGTGTTTTTGCAACCACCATCGTTTGTGCCCGTTATTCGGAGGATAGCCAAAAATAATTCTCAATGCAAATTTGAACTCTAGACCTTTGGACTGGTAGGCATGCACGTAACCACACCTGTGGCTCCCAAATAGTGTATACTGACCACATAAGACAGCTTTTTGCCACCACAAATAAGGTATTAAACTATCACTGTTTTATCAGAGATTTTTCTCATTTAGGGAGAGGAGACACGGAAGGTGATCCACTTTTTCCTGCCTGGCTGGCCTGATTACAGCGCTGACATCAAATTTGATGATGTCCTGGGATTTGTGAAAGCTGTCAGACAAGAAGTAAAACCTGACAATCAGGGACCAATCGTTGTTCACTGCAGGTCCTTCATTCTATTTCCATGTCTGTTTTAACGCTCACTTTACATTATTTTAATCTTCAAATTCTTCTCTCCTTTTGTCAAATTTGTGTGTGTGATTAAATTTACTTTCAAAGTATTAGAAGACAGAATTAATTTTCTGCTTCATTCAGAAAAGAATGTTGGTTGCACCATTCAGTTGTCCTTACCCACATAAGCTGGCATAGAGCTACTGGACAAGAACGAACTACATGGCAAACTTTTATCCGAAGAGGCACAACAACTTGTGAGGCCTCTATAGAAAAGGCAGCTGAACAGTGAAGACAGGCTGCAAAGACCTGTATAACAGGCCCTTTTCCAACAGAGGATGTTCCACGTTCTCATCGTCCTAGATCCTTCCAGGCCTGTATTCGGCTTATAAGTCACCTCGGACTCACAGACAATCATCTACAGCTTCAGGATGGTTGAAAGAAAGAGTCATCATCATTTGTGATGGACAAACAACAACAACCCATAGAGGACTGCAGTTATGAGTACAATAATCATAACTTATGTGGACATTGAACCGGATGTCTGCGACCTGCCTTGTTGGTCTGCCCTTCAAGTTACAATTGTAAAATCTCACGATGGAGTGGTCAGCCTCTAAGTACAAACAAACAAACTTTATTTTCAAAGGGTCACAAATTGAGCTTGCAGGCCCGTCTTACATTCAGCCCTTCCACACAGCAGCACTCCTCTTCCACACAGCAGCAATTATCTTTCACACAGCAGTTCTCCTCTTTCACACAGCAGCACTCCTCTTTTTCACACAGCAGCACTCTTCTTTCACACAGCAGCAATTATCTTTCACACAGCAGCAATTATCTTTCACACAGCATCACTCCTCTTTCACACAGCAGCAATTATCTTTCACACAGCAGCAATTATCTTTCACACAGCAGCAATTATCTTTCACACAGCAGCACTCCTCTTTCACACAGCAGCACTCCTCTTTCACACAGCAGCACTCCTCTTTCACACAGCAGCACTCCTCTTTCACACAGCAGCAATTCTCTTTCACACAGCAGCAATTCTCTTTCACACAGCAGCAATTCTCTTTCACACAGCAGCAATTCTCTTTCACACAGCAGCAATTCTCTTTCACACAGCAGCAATTCTCTTTCACACAGCAGCCATTCTCTTTCACACAGCAGCAATTCTCTTTCACACAGCAGCACTCCTCTTTCACACAGCAGCACTCCTCTTTCACACAGCAGCAATTCTCTTTCACACAGCAGCAATTCTCTTTCACACAGCAGCACTCCTCTTTCACACAGCAGCACTCCTCTTTCACACAGCAGCATTCTCTTTCACACAGCAGCAGCAGCACAGCATTCCTCTTTCACACAGCAGCACTCCTCTTTCACACAGCAGCACTCCTCTTTCACACAGCAGCACCACTCCTCTTTCACACAGCAGCAATTCTCTTTCACACAGCAGCAATTCTCTTTCACACAGCAGCAATTCTCTTTCACACACAGCAGCACTCCTCTCTTCACACAGCAGCACTCCTCTTTCACACAGCAGCAATTCTCTTTCACATTCTCTTTCACACAGCAGCAATTCTCTTTCACACAGCAGCACTCCTCTCACACAGCAGCACATCCTCTTTCACACAGCAGCACTCCTCTTTTTCACACAGCAGCACTCCTCTTTCACACAGCAGCACTCCTCTTTCACACAGCAGCACTCCTCTTTCACACAGCAGCACTCTCTCTCTTTCACACAGCAGCAACTTCTCTTTCACACACAGCAGCAGCACTCCTCTCTTTCACACAGCAGCACTCCTCTTTCACACAGCAGCACTCCTCTTTCACACAGCAGCACTCCTCTTTCACACAGCAGCAATTCTCTTTCACACAGCAGCAATTCTCTTTCACACAGCAGCACTCCTCTTTCACACAGCAGCACTCCTCTTTCACACAGCAGCACTCCTCTTTCACACAGCAGCAATTCTCTTTCACACAGCAGCAATTCTCTTTCACACAGCAGCAATTCTCTTTCACACAGCACACTCCTCTTTCACACAGCACTCCTCTTTCCTCCTCTTTCACACAGCAGCAATTCTCTTTCACACAGCAGCACTCCTCTTTCACACAGCAGCAATTCTCTTTCACACAGCAGCAATTCTCTTTCACACAGCAGCAATTCTCTTTCACACAGCAGCACTCCTCTTTCACACAGCAGACTCCTCTTCCACACAGCAGCAATTATCTTTCACACAGCAGTTCTCCTCTTTCACACAGCAGCACTCCTCTTTCACACAGCAGCACTCCTCTTTCACACAGCAGCACTCCTCTTTCACACAGCAGCAATTATCTTTCACACAGCAGCAATTATCTTTCACACAGCAGCAATTATCTTTCACACAGCAGCAATTATCTTTCACACAGCAGCACTCCTCTTTCACACAGCAGCACTCCTCTTTCACACAGCAGCACTCCTCTTTCACACAGCAGCAATTCTCTTTCACACAGCAGCAATTCTCTTTCACACAGCAGCAATTCTCTTTCACACAGCAGCAATTCTCTTTCACACAGCAGCAATTCTCTTTCACACAGCAGCAATTCTCTTTCACACAGCAGCAATTCTCTTTCACACAGCAGCAATTCACACAGCAGTAATTCTCTTCACACACAGCGCAATTTTTCACACAGCAGCAATTCTCTTTCACACAGCAGCACTCCTCTTTCACACAGCAGCACTCCTCTTTCACACAGCAGCAATTCTCTTTCACACAGCAGCAATTCTCTTTCACACAGCAGCACTTCTCTTTCACACAGCAGCACTCCTCTTTCACACAGCAGCAATTCTCTTTCACACAGCAGCAATTCTCTTTCACACAACAGCACTCCTCTTTCACACAGCAGCACTCCTCTTTCACACAGCAGCATTCTCTTTCACACAGCAGCAATTCTCTTTCACACAGCAGCACTCCTCTTTCACACAGCAGCACTCCTCTTTCACACAGCAGCACTCCTCTTTCACACAGCAGCAATTCTCTTTCACACAGCAGCAATTCTCTTTCACACAGCAGCAATTCTCTTTCCCACAGCAGCACTCCTCTTTCACACAGCAGCACTCCTCTTTCACACAGCAGCAATTCTCTTTCACACAGCAGCAATTCTATTTCACACAGCAGCACTCCTCTTTCACACAGCAGCAATTATCTTTCACACAGCAGCACTCCTCTTTCACACAGCAGCACTCCTCTTTCACACAGCAGCACTCCTCTTTCACACAGCAGCACTCCTCTTTCACACAGCATCAATTCTCTTTCACACAGCAGCAATTCTCTTTCACACAGCAGCACTCCTCTTTCACACAGCAGCACTCCTCTTTCACACAGCAGCACTCCTCTTTCACACAGCAGCAATTCTCTTTCACACAGCAGCACTCCTCTTTCACACAGCAGCACTCCTCTTTCACACAGCAGCAATTCTCTTTCACACAACAGCAATTCTCTTTCACACAGCAGCAATTCTCTTTCACACAGCAGCACTCCTCTTTCACACAGCAGCACTCCTCTTTCACACAGCAGCAATTCTCTTTCACACAGCAGCACTCCTCTTTCACACAGCAGCAATTCTCTTTAACACAGCAGCAATTCTCTTTCACACAGCAGCACTCCTCTTTCACACAGCAGACTCCTCTTCCACACAGCAGCAATTATCTTTCACACAGCAGTTCTCCTCTTTCACACAGCAGCACTCCTCTTTCACACAGCAGCACTCCTCTTTCACACAGCAGCAATTATCTTTCACACAGCAGCAATTATCTTTCACACAGCAGCAATTATCTTTCACACAGCAGCTCTCCTCTTTCACACAGCAGCACTCCTCTTTCACACAGCAGCAATTATCTTTCACACAGCAGCAATTATCTTTCACACAGCAGCAATTATCTTTCACACAGCAGCAATTATCTTTCACACAGCAGCACTCCTCTTTCACACAGCAGCACTCCTCTTTCACACAGCAGCACTCCTCTTTCACACAGCAGCAATTCTCTTTCACACAGCAGCAATTCTCTTTCACACAGCAGCAATTCTCTTTCACACAGCAGCAATTCTCTTTCACACAGCAGTAATTCTCTTTCACACAGCAGCAATTCTCTTTCACACAGCAGCAATTCTCTTTCACACAGCAGCAATTCTCTTTCACACAGCAGCAATTCTCTTTCACACAGCAGCACTCCTCTTTCACACAGCAGCACTCCTCTTTCACACAGCAGCAATTCTCTTTCACACAGCAGCAATTCTCTTTCACACAGCAGCACTCCTCTTTCACACAGCAGCACTCCTCTTTCACACAGCAGCAATTCTCTTTCTCACAGCAGCAATTCTCTTTCACACAGCAGCACTCCTCTTTCACACAGCAGCACTCCTCTTTCACACAGCAGCACTCCTCTTTCACACAGCAGCAATTCTCTTTCACACAGCAGCACTCCTCTTTCACACAGCAGTCGTATTCTATCAAAAAAGCATGTTGTGTTCATATAATAATATGCATATTATCAATCTCAGGAAAAAACACATTGTTGGTAAAATGCATGTGTACACTCATGCGCACGCACACACACACCCATACACACACGCCCACCTACCCTGTTACCAACCAACTTACTCACTCACTTACACACCCACATACACACAGACATTCATACACATATACATTCATACACATATACATACATACACACACACACACACACACAGACAGGGGATCTGGCTGATGCTGAACACTCAGGGAAAGGATGAGAAGGATATACAGACGGTTACTGGTGCCATCCGAATTTTAACTCTTTGCTTGCTGCTGAAGATGAGGAAAGAGCACTTATGGGAGTGTCACGAGTGTTGTGATGTCAGTTCCTAATTTAACATTCAACACATAGACAGACATTTCCAAACACACACACACAGACACACACACACACACAGGCACACGGATATATACACACACCCAGACACACACAGAAAAAAAACTCACAGATACACCCACATATATACATAAGGCTTAGATGCATACAGATTCACAAATATACACACTGACACACACACACACATACATACATAGGTAAGGCATAGATGCTTACAGACACACACGTTAGCACATGCACACAAACACACGCACACAGATACCTACATACATACACACACATACATTCATTCATATGCACACACACTGATACACATATACTAACACACATATAAACACGCATACATACATCTAATTACATGCACTGTCATTCATACATATATTCTTAGCTGTCTTATCTGCTTGAACATTTTCTAAGACTTCATGTGTGGGTCTGCATCAAGATCACAGCTGTCTAGTTACATCCTAGCTGCTAATGCATTAGAACATTGGATATCATCCATTAGTTAATCAGAGCAGAATGGAATAGTAACACCCTAATCTGACAAGCTTGTCACTAGAGGCCACGAAGGTTTGATGATTGTAGATGAAAGACTGCATGTGATGTTATCTTTCAAATATCCTAGCAGATGATTGTAGATGAAAGACTGCATGTGATGTTATCTTTCAAATACCCTAGCAGATGATTGTAGATGAAAGACTGTATGTGATGTTATCTTTCAAATATCCTAGCAGATTATTGTAGATGAAAGACTGCATGTGATGTTATCTTTCAAATATCCTAGCAGATGATTGTAGATGAAAGACTGCATGTGATGTTATCTTTCAAATATCCTAGCAGATGATTGTAGATGAAAGACTGCATGTGATGTTATCTTTCAAATATCCTAGCAGATGATTGTAGATGAAAGACTGCATGTGATGTTATCTTTCAAATATCCTAGCAGATGACAAATGACTTTGGGATGAGGTCTCCCTGAGGTTCCCTGTCTAGGACCTTGTGGAAAACCATGCAACTGGCATGCTTGAAACTAAAAGAGTAATGACATTCTCCATGATGACTTAGAATTTCAAAACCCAAGCCTTGCATTCCTGCAAATAAATATTATTGATATGTTTATTTGCGTTTTCTTTCTCCCTACTAATAAAATTCTATCTTATGTTGCACGCAGTGCTGGAGTTGGGCGTTCAGGAACTTTCATAGCTCTGGATTACTTTGCACAGTATGTTGAAAAACACAGCCTGGATGATTCAGTCGACATCTTTGACTTTGTGCTGCAGATGAGGAAGAACCGAACTAGGATGGTGCAGGTTGAGGTAAATATTCCCAGTGTTTGCACGTGTCTCTTGACTAGGATGGTGCAGGTTGAGGTAAATAGTCACAGTGTTTGCACCTGTCTCTTGACTAGGATGGTGCAGGTTGAGGTAAATAGTCACAGTGTTTGCACATGTCTCTTGACTAGGATGGTGCAGGTTGAGGTAAATAGTCACAGTGTTTGCACATGTCTCTTGACTAGGATGGTGCAGGTTGAGGTAAATAGTCACAGTGTTTGCACATGTCTCTTGACTAGTATGGTGCAGGTTGAGGTAAATATTCACAGTGTTTGTACCTGTCTCTTGACTAGGATGGTGCAGGTTGAGGTAAATAGTCACAGTGTTTGCACATGTCTCTTGACTAGGATGGTGCAGGTTGAGGTAAATAGTCACAGTGTTTGCACCTGTCTCTTGACTAGGATGGTGGAGGTTGAGGTAAATTGTCACAGTGTTTGCACATGTCTCTTGACTAGGATGGTGCAGGTTGAGGTAAATAGTCACAGTGTTTGCACCTCTCTCTTGACTAGGATGGTGGAGGTTGAGGTAAATAGTCACAGTGTTTACACCTGTCTCTTGACTAGGATGGTGCAGGTTGAGGTTAATAGTCACAGTGTTTGCCCCTGTCTCTTGACTAGGATGGTGCAGGTTGAAGTAAATATTCCCAGTGTTTGCACATGTCTCTTGCTGGCTTATGCTGCACAGCTCTTTTGATGATGTTGCTCTTCTCTCTTTTGACTTGTTAATAACCTCTTGCAGTCGTTTTCTGCTCTGGATTGGTGCCCCTTATGAACCAGGAAGTCCCAGCCACAGATCTGCAGTGGTTCTCCTTCAGTCAAATTAGAGAACTGCAATACTCTAGAACCTGAATTGTCTCAGTGGGTTGAGTTAGTGACAACAAGCTACAAGGCAGAAAAACATGAATGTTTACTGCGGTTCTGTCAGCAGTGTTGGCTCTGTTGTCGTTAACTTTTCTAAGGGATGATTTCTTAGCTGATACATCTTTTTAACCACAGAGAGTGAATCAGATTGTTACATCACGTTACCTTCAGTTAAATTAAAAACACCATTCACTCACATTCTGGATCACAACAAGCATTCTCGTTCAGCTACGACAATCAAAATCTTTCTCCATCTGTTAGCCATTCCTTGCCAGGTTCATGAAGTCAGCAGTACAGATTCACACAGGCAGTTGATTCTTCCAGATGATCTGCTGTCTCTCCTTGTCTCCCTCAGAATGCGTGTACCTGTCTCTCACATCAGCTTATTCATATTTCCCCATGGGATTTGCAAACAATTCACTTATCCTCCATGAACATCCCATTACCTGTTCACACATGTTTCCTCATGAACGAGTCTTCCCATTTGGTTTATTGTTTCCTATCTGGCACCTGACCTCTAAACCTGTCCCCTGGAAACCCCCTTCTGACTTTGTGGGATTTCCCACTCATTACAGTCGCATATGTTAATTCTGGTGGGTTCTTTCCTGCTCTGCTTATTAAAGTAGCCTCCTTTGAGAAGGTTCAGGATGATTCCATAATTCTAATTCCTTGTTCTGTGTTATCATTTCTCACCCAGCTTGTCATGTCAGTCCCCAGCATTTTTGTGTTTTGATGGTTTTGTATATACTTTAAGAAACACTCTTCACTCAGAGGGGAAGTAAGACAGACATGTAATCAATCTGCTACTGACAGCATCATAATTGGAACTCACTGGCTGCTGAAGATTAGGATGGAGCACTTATGGGAATGTTTCAGGTGTGGTGATTTCAATTCTTAGCTCAGAACTCAACTTTAGAAACAAAGCAGAGAAGGGACTAATTCAAAACAATGTTTTCCCGAAATGAATTTATATAATGTGGACCTAAACTATGCATTGCACAGTTTATGTAAAATTGATATTATACACTGTATCTCGTCAGGTGTGTTTCTGCAGAGTTTCATCAACATATAATAAAGTAAACAAAAATGAATAAATTCCACTGAAATACAAATGGTCTCTCTAATTACATTGTGTTTATCTCTCCTATATCTCCGTGCCAAAGAACTGCATGGCTGTTGGGTGAACAGTCGTTAACAATGGCAGGCAGGTCGTCGTTGGGGCGACGCCTGCTTGTGGATGTAATGTCCTAAGTCCCTTCCCAAGCTAATAATGAGGGTACTGCTGGGGTGACCGTTTATTAACCCTCATATAATGCTTCAGGTCAAAATGGACGCTAGGCACAGACACCTTTTTTTTTTTTTTTTAAAGCCGTGGCAAATGTTTTTTTTTCCTTCTGCCAGACGGTGGCTGTTGCATTTTTGCTCCATTTTTAGACTGGAAGGTTGTAGTTTCGCCCAGCTTCTGAGTTGAGTGCATGGCATGACACTGTGAGCTGCATGTGTTTTTCGTTGGCACAGGAGCGGAGCAACTGTGGGGTGATCCGTTTGCTATGAAGCTGAAACTAGGATTACCAGATTGTGTTTATCTAGTTGCAGAAAGTTCACACAGTAGAGACTTGTAAACATTCTCTATGTGATCTTGTTTGTGCATATTGCAGACACAGTACATCTTCATCTATGACGGCATCAACAAACTCATTCAGAGCAAGATCAAATCTGAGCAGGAGAAGCTCTATGAAAATGTGAGCACTGGCAACGGTGTCTATGAGAACTTTAAGCAACAGGAGGAGAAGCTCTATGCAAACACTGATGTGAAAAATGACAAGTATGTCTACAACAACGAGGCTTTTGGTAAGTGGGGCTGTCCTGTTGTTCTACACTGCTGCTGTCTTGTTGTTCTACACTGCTGTTGTTCTACACTGCTGCTGTCCTGTTGTTCTACACTGCTGCTGTCCTGTTGTACTACACTGCTGCTGTCCTGTTGTTCTCCACTGCTGTTGTTCTACACTGCTGCTGTCCTGTTGTTCTCCACTGCTGCTGTCTTGTTGTTCTACACTGCTGCTGTCTTGTTGTTCTACACTGCTGCTGTCTTGTTGTTCTACACTGCTGTTGTTCTACACTGCTGCTGTCTTGTTGTTCTACACTGCTGCTGTCCTGTTGTTCTACACTGCTGCTGTCCTGTTGTTCTACACTGCTGCTGTCCTGTTGTTCTACACTGCTGCTGTCCTGTTTTTCTACACTGCTGTCCTGTTTTTCTACACTGCTGCTGTCTTGTTTTTCTTTACTGCTGTCCTGTTTTTCTACACTGCTGCTGTCTTGTTGTTCTACACTGCTGCTGTCTTGTTGTTCTACACTGCTGCTGTCTTGTTGTTCTACACTGCTGTTTTTCTGTACTGATGTTTTTCTACACTGCTGTCCTGTCATTCTCCGCTGTTGTCCTGTCTGTTATGATTTACTGGTGATCTGTTGTTCTGTATTAATCTTCTGTGATATCAAGCTTGGTGTTAAATTGATAGAACAAAAGAAAGAATGCAAGAGCACATTAAGGTAATAATCACCCTGAGCAGGTATTGCAACAGTGGAACCAAACATAGCTAGACTAGGTGACATCATCATCTGTACACATAGCTCCGTAAATTGTGGGGTGCCTTCCGGTTGGGCATACACAGCGCGGGTGAATGGGAAGACAGTAAAAAAAGAAAATCAAGGATTCAGCATTCAGTTCAGATGGAGATAATAGCTGTCACAGGGGCACTTGCATGGCTGGCGGAACAGAAAGCAGGTCAAGCATTGAAAGTGACGCAATCATTGAGCATGATTCAGAAAATCCAAGCTGGCAAACTTTCACTAGAATAGTTTGACAGCTTCCAAAAGTTCTACCTCAAAGAATGATCCTGGCTGTACACACCGTGATTCACTGGGGTGAAAGTAAATGAAAGAGCTAACAGACTGGCTGTGTCTGCAGTAGTTAATGGAAGGAGAAGTGTGGACAAGGCAGATGTGTTGAGTGTTCCAGAGATGGGAGAGAAAGGAGTCAGAGATGATGATTCGCCTGTTGGAAATAGGTTAACTGAGGATAAGTTGGCAGAAACTGGTCTGTAGGGCAAAGAAAAGATATTCCAGTCAGCTCCGACTAGGTATGTTGAGCATGGAGACACTGAGGTGGTTGGGGCATCAGAAGACGGAGCACGGATGGGTCGGATTGATGTGCTAAGGTTTCAATACAGATAAGAAGTTGTAAATATCCATGATGCTGTTCTAGTTCCACTACTGGTGAGGTGTTTTTTGTTACTGTTCTCTTGTTCTGTTACTATCTTGGTGATCTGTCTTGCGTTCTTTGTGTCATGTACCAGTGTCTTGAAGTTCTATGCTGTTGTCCTGGTGTCTTTGCTGCTATTCTGTCTTGGTGATCTGTCTTGCGTTCTTTGTGTCATGTACCAGTGTCTTGAAGTTCTTTGCTGTTGTCCTGGTGTCTTTGCTGCTATTCTAGGCTGATTGTGCTGCTGTCTTTCACTGTTCTTTCTGTGTGCTATATTCTGAGACACCTTTGGTTTGTCTCATGATGTTTCCATGAATAAAGCAGGAAACATGTGCTCAAGCTGTGTTTGGCTTTTAGTCATTCTTAGACTCTAATTAGAATTTGTTTCCAGCAGTAACAAGATCTGTACAGACAAATTATTCTAGCATTTCCGCTCAATGAATCTAATCTGTTCAGGCTATTGTGAATGCTTGTTACAATAAATCGGTGGCTTATTGCTGTCAATATTTGATAGGTTGTGTTGTCTGAGAAATTGCTTGTTACAATAAATCAATGGCTTATTGCTGCCAATATTTGACAGGTTGTGGTGTCTGAGAAATTGCTTGTTACAATAAATCAATGGCTTATTGCTGCCAATATTTGACAGGTTGTGATGTCTGAGAAATTGCTTGTTACAATAAATCAATGGCTTATTGCTGCCAAAATTTGACAGGTTGTGGTGTCTGAGAAATTGCTTGTTACAATAAATCAATGGCTTATTGCTGCCAATATTTGACAGGTTGTGGTGTCTGAGAAATTGCTTGTTACAATAAATCAGTGGCTTATTGCTGCCAATATTTGACAGGTTGTGGTGTCTGAGAAACTATGTTCACATTGCAGTTGTTACTGTCGCTGACTGTGTTGTTTGCTTCATCAGAGCCAGACTTTTCACCCAGTCAGAAGAGTGATAAGCCAACCACGGAACTGTGATCTCACACCCCAGGACTGAACCATATGACTGGCTGTGACTTTATATGTACATGCAACCAACAGAAAAGAGACACACAAAGACAGATGCAACAACAGATGCTGTTTATATTTCTTTTTACTACATTTGCCATGTTAGCAACTTTTAGATGTTTTAGATTGAACCAACTGTGATATGTTTGTGAATCTTCACACAGAGGATGTAGTTGTTACTACTGATGTGATAGTCAGAAGTGGTTACACCAGTGATTGGAAGTGAAGAAAACAAACTCTGGAACTCTTTGTCTGTCTAGACCAACAGTTAGTCTAACAGACTGAGATTCTTGATTCATTTTAAACCCCAAAAAAGTTGGCAGAAATGGTGTACACTTGTGCTTGCCACATTTGAAATACAAGGTCAAAAAGTACTTCTGAAATGGGAATAGGGGAGTGGGAGGCAGGGGCGGAATAGCAGACCTGGATCTGAGGGCATACATTGTGGTCTGGACTAGAATCACTGAGGACTGGGAGATAAAAAAAAAAAGCGGTTTGTGCTTGTGGTAAAGATATTTGTACCCTCAAGACGTTGAAACACAAGTAAATGTGAGATGTGTAACCTAATACCTTTCCCCTTCTTCGTTCATTTTTGGAACAAAAGCATGGAGAGCACAGATATCATCTTGATCGTATGTTGTAGAATATAATTGTCAATGTTTGCTCAGATTAATGCCAGTAGTGACATGTTTGAGTGAATGCCACTGACTGAAGGCAAAAACTGTTACCATGGTTACAGATGAAAGGCAGTTTAAATCATGCAATATTTTCTGAGGTGTGCCTTCATGAATTTCTCTCCTTGTTCCGACATGACATGTTAAATGTTGCAATTTTGCATAATGGTTTGCTTTCATGTACACAGTGTGTCCATTTTATTTGTGTTATTGATTTTAATAATTCATTTTATGGAACTGACAAATAATTTATAGATGTATAAATAATTGTATATATTTTAATTTAGATGAAGCAAGTTTCATGTTTTGAAATACTTACATTTCTTTGTAAGAACGGCTAAATCTTTGATTCCTTTGTTAACCACAAGGATAAGAGATTGTCTACTGTCAACGAGTCTGACCCTTGTCATTTTGTGAAACCTTTCCCCCAGGAGTATAATATTTCTATATTAAGTGTACATTTTTATAACTTACTATAGTTTTCTAGCGTCTGTTGAGCATATAACTTTAATGAATTCATCTGAAGCTTTTGGCATAAATTATATTTATCAAAGTGTTATACTACTTAACAGTTTTAATTAGATGGTGTTTTATACAAACATAATTGTTCTACAAAGGTAAACAATCATTTCTTATTCTATGACAGTATTCTTACCCTGTGTTATCAGTTACAATGATCAAACCATATCTACTTCTGCCAAGCCTTTCAAGCATATCCAATCCTGCTATGCAACTATTCGTGAAAGAAGTTTTCATATTTATATTGCCAAAATCTAATGAGAACTCAAAGCAAGCGCACTGAGACAGTGTGTACTGAGACAGTGTGTACTGAGACAGTGTATACTGAGACAGTGTGTACTGAGACAGTGTGTACTGAGACAGTGTGTACTGAGACAGTGTGTACTGAGACAGTGTAAACTGAGACAGTGTGTACTGAGACAGTGTGTACTGAGACAGTGTGTACTGAGACAGTGTTTACTGACAGTTGTAAAAGCCAAAGACACAAAACTGGTGTTATCAACTGCTGCAAGCTGTGAGATTTAATGACAAAGGGGATCCAAGCAGTTATGGACTGAATGGTTCTACGTGCAGTGAGGATAATCTGTTAGCTAACTAAGCTAACTGAAGAATTTGGTTCCATGGAGTGTGCACGGCCTGTTTGGTTCAGTGTCACATGCCATCTGTTCTTCTGGGTGTACTGTTGGATCCAGTCCTCTAGGTTCTTTCCCAACAAAACTTACTCCAGCTACTTATCATGGCTGTTTCCTGTATTGTGATTACACACAATTGTGATAGTTGTTTCATGTGTTGTTTTATTTATAGACCTTGTTATAGCTTCACAATTTGGCCCTGTTTGCTGGCACTTATATTGCACATTCCCAGAATTATTACTTACAGAATATTATACTTAATGGTTCCCATTGTTTTGACTTGTATGGCATTGTTTCTCAGACTGTAATGATTGTTGTCAGAATTGAAATAACTGTGTCACATCTTGTAATGATTGTAAATTGATAGAATATTAATGATTTATTATAGCTTTGATCACAATACAAGTAGGATAAGAAGAGTTTCATGTTATCTACATTTATCACACCATCAGACAGAAGTGATCGGTGACCTTCATTCTTGTTTCCATTTCTTGTGGTACCGGTAATTTGAGATTGATTGTTCTGACTTTGATTGTTGATTGTTTCACAACAGTCTCAGTGTGATTGTTCTGAGACTCCTAGTTGATTGTTTCACAACAATTTCAATGTATGAGATATTGACCTATGAGAGCTACAATAAGCAGTGATGGCATCACAACAGCTGGAACCTGAGTATGTGTCTAGTTTACTGTTGTAGAAATTTCATTTTCCAGCATTGTAATCTTTTTGTCTATCACTTTTAACTACTATAGTATTATTGTTGTCTTCCATTCAACCTCTTTCACAGTGGTTTCCAACTTTGAGCATATGGCAACCTCACCCCTGCCTCCCCCCCCCCCTCACCCTTTTTCAGTATAACAAAATGTGATAAACAAGAGAGAAGGACAAAAAGAAAAATATCTGGCACTGTTGACAAGAACTTGCACATAATCCAGTGTCAAACAACAACAGAAACAGTCACCAGCAACTGGTAGTGTCCAGAAATCTATGTGGCAGTTTTGTCTTGATATTTGCTATTGTTGGTCTGATTTTAGACAGGGCACAATGATCACTCTCCACATCAAGCTGGCAACACTGCTTTGTGATCATGGCTGTTAAATGTGAACATCTGAATTATTACAAGTACAGTGCACTTATTTTCAACTCCCCGCCCCTCTCACACCTTCCAAGTTGGAGACCACTGCTCTAGCAGGTTTTGTTATTTATCTGTAACTGTTGCACCAGGTTTCTGACTGGTCTGCACCAGGTTTCTGACTGGTTTGCACCAGCTTTCGGTGATCACTGGTGTTGAATGGATGAGATCATGAACAAAAAGTAACCTGGATATTATGTGACAATGTATGTGTCTGTATGAGACTATGTGACAATGTATGTGTCTGTATGAGACTATGTGACAATGTATGTGTCTGTATGAGACTATGTGACAATGTATGTGTCTGTATGAGACTATGTGACAATGTATGTGTCTGTATGAGACTATGTGACAATGTATGTGTCTGTATGAGACTATGTGACAATGTATGTGTCTGTATGAGACTATGTGACAATGTAAGTGTGTGTGAATGATAATGTATGTGTCTGTATGAGACTATGTGACAATGTAAGTGTGTGTGAATGACAATGTATGTGTCTGTATGAGACTATGTGACAATGTATGTGTCTGTATGAGACTATGTGACAATGTATGTGTGTGTGAATGACAATGTATACTAATGGTAAATTGGATTTAACAGTTGCCAGCAAATAGCCAGGCTCTTCTATTCATCTGCTCATTGGATTGTTCCCTTGTGAGAACAAGGCAGAGATGTTTCTTCAGGTGTACGTGTTCCCTGTATTTCTTGGAAAGTAAAAACAAATCCAGTGGTCCTAGAAAGGCTTGGAATTACAAGAACCGTTGAAAGAATTTTAAGGAGTCAAAGAAATATTCTGGCCACATTAACACTCTTACAAAAAAATTGCACTGGAGGAAAAGTTGAATGCAGGTGTTTGCATGTACAATTTTAAGTATCCAGAAACTGTGAGTTGTTAACCGTTATGTTCGGTACCATGATTCCATGACAGATACCATAAATCTGGGAGAAATGTGGCTTTTCTGCCTACCTCCGGGTGTGAACCCGGACCACAAGGAGTTTGTCACACGGTCACCGCACAGAGGGTTTGAACCAATTGAGCTAGTGAGCCGAATGCATGTACATTGTTAGATTGATATCAGAGGTGTTAGTGGACAAATGACTTTCGGAGATAGACAGACAGCATTCTATCAGACAGATGACTTCAGGAGATTGACAGAACAGCATTCTATCAGACAGATGACTTCAGGAGATTGACAGACAGCAGTCTATCAGACAGATGACTTCAGGAGATTGACAAACAGCAGTCTATCAGACAGATAACTTCAGGACATTGACAGACAGCAGTCTATCAGACAGATGACTTCAGGAGATTGACAGACAGCAGTCTATCAGACAGATGACTTCAAGAGATTGACAGACAACAATCTATTAGACAGATGACTTCAAGAGATCGACAGACAGCAGTCTATCAGACAGATGACTTCATAAGATTGACAGACAGCAGTCTATCAGACAGATGACTTCATGAGATTGACAGACAGCAGCCTATGAGAGTTCACAGCTGAGTGAGAGAAAGTATTGGGGATCTGTTGCAGCCATTTATTGTGGAAACCGTACCTGATTGATTGATTGATTGATTATATGTATTTTTTGTACTACCCCCCAAACCCCCTTTCCCATTGTAAGACTAAAGTTGATGTACAACCATTCCATAAACTGGTAGAAACCCTGAAACTGACATATCTATTATTGTGTGTGTATTAACTATTATCAACATCCCTTAGCTTACAAACCTGCAGCCTAGCCCATATTTGCTGACATTCCCAGAAGACAGATATTTATACAGAATGCTCTTGTAAACATCAGCCCTGGAGACCACCTCTCCCCAACAGTTGAACTACTGTCATCTTCATTATCAAATATCAGGATAAATCTATGGTGAGAATTCTGAGTTACCCTCAGCAAGAAGCTGATAATGTAACAGGCAGTGTTCTAGTGTGTGAATCGTTTTTTTTTTTTTTTAATATCAAGTAAATTTGTTGTAATCTTTGTTTTGGTCACTTATAACTTATTCAGTGAATTGTTTTTCAATGATTGACAGCGCATGTTCTGCTTCTCATTAATAGTCCATGCCAGGTAGTGTTGGTAGTCATGTCTGTGCACTGCCTTCTGTCTCCTGTAGTTTCAGTCAGTTCTGACACAAATGATGAGCCTCCATGACAATGACGTCTAACTCTCCAGCATCTTCTCTCTCGGTCTCTCTTGCGTCTTTTTCCCTCCAAGCTTTCCCACCATGTACTCCTTCTCATGACATGATGAAATAATATAGATTATCTCCCCCTGATGCGGGCAGTCAGTTCTCTTCATGAGTCAGTTTCTTTCAAGACATCTTCATTACTCTTTCTGTCTGTCTGGGGTGTTCTCATCGTTTGTTTACTAAACCACATCCCCACTGCTTCCACGGTTATTCACTAAGTGGCCAACTGTCCATGATTCACTTCTGTACATCAGGATAGGATTTACCCGTGTGGGTTCTGGGGCCCCATTGTGGGGAGAACAAGAACAGACCCACTGCCTCCTCAACAAGCATGTCCTAGGAGTCAACTAATTGGAGACTTCCTTCGAAGTCAAGACTGCATCTGCCCAAGCAGTAAGGAGCAGCCAACTTCACACAAATAAGCCAGTAAATCAGATGTACACGCAAAACGTAGGCCCTGGCACAAAGCCAAAGTCCAAATGGATGAACAGCCAGTACTTTCCACCTTAGCTTACAGCTGGTGAACAAAGAAGAAGATTGATAGGATTTCTATAGCTCTTGGGAATTCTGTTTTTCACATCAATTGACACACATAAAAGATATGACTTGTCAAGTTTTTGTTTGTCAAATCGTATACTGAACATGGATCTGTGTTCTGGCAGAATCTGTGGACACTGTAATGTTTTGTTTGTCAGATCTGTACTGAACATGGATCTATGTTCTGGCAGAATCTGTGGACACTGTAATGTTTTGTTTGTCAGATCTGTACTGAACATGTATCTATGTTCTGGCAGAATCTGGGGCCTATCACAAGTTCTGATTGCTGGTGTCTTGGTTGAGTGTGGACTTGAAGCAGTGTAAACCGTCACATGGAGCATGGTATTAGAGAACCTGTAGCATCTTACACATTCTCTGATGGCAACACTGTTTTTTAATATTTGATATCCCTAAAACATGTTTTAGTCTACTTCAGCCACTTCTGACTTCCATGATTTGACACAGTATGATATAAAACCTTGTGTTTGATGTCAGATTTTACAACTTTTTAGCATAAAGAGTAATTTTATTCTTTGTTTTTCTTTCTGGAAGTTTTAAGGCTACATTTAAGTTTTAGAAGTGCATTTCACCGACAGAAAGTATCTGCAAGTATTAATGAACATTTGCTGTATATCTTAAGTGTGCACTTCATGAAGCATCGGCTCAACAACTGTACTGAAATGGAGAATTTTCTGATTGAAATGTCTTAGGCATCAGCAGCATAAATGTCAACTAGAAATCACACACATTTCAGCTAGAGCCAACAATGAAATTGTTAGGTTTATAAATGGACAGATGGTGAAATGCTCATTTACAGACATTTATACCATCTGTTTCATGGTCAGTTGGATTGTGACAGCCCAGTACAAGTGACATTGTGTAAATAATTTCGATTTCATGTACCCAGGGCGTACTGTGTTACACACACCCATATTATCTGCGTGATATACAAACATATATATCTATATCTTACTGTGTATTCTGTTCTCTGTAGACAGTATGTGATTTACTGCAATGAGAAAACAATCAAAACAACGACTGAAATAATGAACTCATTTGTTTTTGCCTGTCACATTGGCACACCTGGATGTCAACTGTGGTTCCAGACATGATGAACTTACCTGTCACATTGGCACACCTGGATGTCAACTGTGGTTCCAGACATGATGAACTTACCTGTCATTGGCACACCTGGATGTCAACTGTGGTTCCAGACATGATGAACTTACCTGTCACATTGGCACACCTGGATGTGGAAACTGTGGTTCCAGATCATGATAAACTTACCTGTTTTCACTTGTGGCCATGGGGGCTTGGTTTGGCACACGCTCACTGTCAGATTGGGGCGTGGGTGGGGTTTAGGGGTTCTCACGTGCAGACATGGGTTGGGGTTTAGGATGAACTTACCTGTCATTGGCACACCTGGATGTCTGCTGTGGTTCCAGACATGATGAACTTACGTGTGTTTGCTGAAGACATCTGCATGAGTCTGCCATACACTGGACATCCACTGTTGTGTCCCAGAAACATCATTCCTGACCTTTCCCTAGTTTCTCAACTAGTAAAATGTTGAATTGCAAACTTCCTATAATTTGTGGAAACAGCCAAATTTAAATCTATCGTATAAACTGGTTAATGTATTTAGTTTTCCACTTGTGGCCATGGGGGCTTGGTTTAGCGGCTATCACGCTCACTTGCAGATTGGGGCGTGGGTTGGGGTTTAGGAGCTATCATGCTCACGTGCAGATTGGGGCATGGGTTGGGGTTTAGGGGCTATCACGCTCACTTGCAGATTGGGGCATGGGTTGGGGTTTAGGGGCTATCACGCTCACTTGCAGATTGGGGCGTGGGTTGGGGTTTAGGGGCTATCACCCACTCACTTGCAGATTGACTCTCCATGGGTTGGGTTTAGGGGCTATCTGTGCTCACATTGCAGATTGGGGCGTGGGTTGGGGTTTAGGGGCTATCACGCTCACATGCAGATTGGGGCGTTGATTGGGTTTAGGGGCTATCACGCTCACGTGCAGATTGGGGTGTGGGTTGGGGTTTAGGGGCTATCACGCTCACGACACTAGATACCCACAGACTAGTGGTTGGCTTCAGGTCCTGATAAAGCTTCGGCAACATCTCTTGTGCAGAAACGACCTTGGCTACCCCCAGGTCGACTCCCATGAAACTAGATCTCTTGAGTGGGTATCTGGTACAGAATTGTTACAATGAAAGAGCTACCCACAGACTAGTGATTGACTCTCCATGAAACCACATCACACACCAAGTGCTCTGTGTTCGTCATTGTTAAACTGACACTGTCTAGCCAGACTAGTATTGACTCTCCCAAATCATCCTGGCAAAGTGTGTGTACATCATTGTTACACTTTTTAGTTTGACTCTCCATTTTCATGGCAACCATCTCTGTGTACATCATTGTTACACTGACACTAGCTACCCACAGACTAGTGATTGACTCTCCATGAAACTAGATCATCTTCATGGCAACCATCTCTGTGTACATCATTGTTACACTGACACTAGCTACCCACAGACTAGTGATTGACTCTCCATGAAACTAGATCATCTTCATGGCAACCATCTCTGTGTACATGGTGCCTGTAGATAGATCTCATCATGAATGTTTGGTGTTTCACAAATCTTCAGTGCCTTTTTGTTATATTATAATCTTCAGCGTTGTCAGCAATGAGATAATCAAACCTGCATCACAGCTATGCAAGCATTCTATTTATGGAAGCCTGTGATGATCATATTGAAATTTGTTGTAGTTAGCCCCCTTGGTCCCTATCACATCGACCATTTTATCGCTGGGATCAGCATTGTTACTTGTAGAAATATGTGCTTTTTTGTTAATGAATTGCCTGGTTGACTTCTTAATGCACCGGTTTATTGCCAGTTTTACACTGACTGATCTGTGACTGCAAGTTACAGGGAAATAATAACTAAGTTTGGACTGTATTGTCTGGTCAACTATCAGCTGGTCTGTGAAGGAAGCAGTCAACTTACATTTATTATTGTTGACCAACTGGTGGCATTGTCTGTCAGCGAGGCTTTGACCACAGATGGTGGCACTGTCTGTCAGGAGGCTTTGCCCACAGATGGTGGCACTGTCTGTCAGGGAGGCTTTGCCCACAGATGGTGGCACTGTCTGTCAGGGAGGCTTTGCCCACAGATGGTGGCACTGTCTGTCAGGGAGGCTTTGCCCACAGATGGTGGCACTGTCTGTCAGGGAGGCTTTGCCCACAGATGGTGGCACTGTCTGTCAGGGAGGCTTTGCCCACAGATGGTGGCACTGTCTGTCAGGGAGGCTTTGCCCACAGATGGTGGCACTGTCTGTCAGGGTGCCCACAGATGGTGGCACTGTCTGTCAGGGAGGCTTTGCCCACACAGATGTCTGCAGGGAGGCTTTGCCCACAGATGGTGCACTGTCTGTCAGGGAGGCTTTGCCCACAGATGGTGGCACTGTCTGTCAGGGAGGCTTTGCCCACAGATGGTGGCACTGTCTGTCAGGGAGGCTTTGCCCACAGATGGTGGCACTGTCTGTCAGGGAGGCTTTGCCCACAGATGGTGGCACTGTCTGTCAGGGAGGCTTTGCCCACAGATGGTGGCACTGTCTGTCAGGGAGGCTTTGCCCACAGATGGTGGCACTGTCTGTCAGGGAGGCTTTGCCCACAGATGGTGGCACTGTCTGTCAGGGAGGCTTTGCCCACAGATGGTGGCACTGTCTGTCAGGGAGGCTTTGCCCACAGATGGTGGCACTGTCTGTCAGGGAGGCTTTGCCCACAGATGGTGGCACTGTCTGTCAGGGAGGCTTTGCCCACAGATGGTGGCACTGTCTGTCAGGGAGGCTTTGCCCACAGATGGTGGCACTGTCTGTCAGGGAGGCTTTGCCCACAGATGGTGGCACTGTCTGTCAGGGAGGCTTTGCCCACAGATGGTGGCACTGTCTGTCAGGGAGGCTAAGAGAAAACCTCTTCTGTTTATTGAGGCATAATTATTGTTTTTAGTTTGTTCAGCTCAGGAGATTGTGTTGATGGGTATTATGATAATAGCTAGCTCTGGGAGGGTTCTGCATGGATCTGCCACTCAAACAGTAGACAGTGTGTGAAGGAAACCTTGTGACTCCTGGAGAACACACATACATCAGTTTACATCCTGGCCACAGTCAGACAGCTGGACTACATCAGTTTACATCCTGGCCACAGTCAGACAGCTGGACTACAGGTTAGCTCTGCCTGTGGTTCATACACGACTGTTGTCATTTGTGTCCACTGTGTATTTTTGTTTGTTTTTTTCATTTATGAAATAAAATAACAGGCTGCATACTGCTTGATCCTGGAGTAGTGGATTAGACCTTTAGCCTTCTCAGACCAGGACACAATCACAGTACATAGCAGAAAACAGCCCCAGTAGGTCCGCTTTCTCCAGCGTAGAACTGGCAGATTATTCAGGACTTCTGATAAAAAGTTGGCAGAAAGTAGCTAGTTGATGAACGGTGGAATAACAGAATCATGTCAGTGTATGTTGTTACTGCTTGTTGTTATAAAACTTACAGCATCGGTCATTCTTTTCTGACCCAATGGTCTACATGTGTCATGGAGAAAATCTACAGTTAACTTTCTACTGTACCAGTTTGAATACTTTTTTGTGTATCATTTTTATTTTGGTAAATAAAGATTGTAATCAGTCAGGTTTGTTGTTTTGTGTGTGTGCATGCGTGGATGGGAAGGAAGCACAATTTTTCCTTTTTTAATTTTTTTTTTAAAATTATATTTGGGGCAGAAAGGGTAACTACAAAACCCTGGAGGAGAGTGAACAAGAAGAAGTCAAATGTTAGATTGAGAGAGAAAAGAGTTCTCCAGGATGCCACGCTCAACCCAACAATAACTGGCAACTTCTAACAGCAAGACCAGCAGATCAAACAAACAAAGCAATCAAATTTTTTCATGGTAAAAGTTAGCGCCGACATCTTAAGACATTTAATGCGGGAGACGGAGCATCTATGGGTAAGCCCAGTGGGCTGTGGTATCAATTCTTTAATAAAAAAATCAGTAATTCATGATTATGATGAATCTGTGACTCCATTCATGCTCATTATTGTGACTTAATGGACTGCAGATATAGAAAGATTATCAGAATACATGGACAAAGAAGATAGAAATACTGACATCCTAAAAGATCTGAACATCAAGGAAGATTAGCTAGTAAATTGCATCATGTCTTTGAAGCTGAAATATTCTGGCCATCTCAAAAGCCATGGCAGATTAGACAAAATTATAGTATGGTAGCAGGAAGGAGGGGCAGTGGCCAGCCAACACAAAGATGGGTACAAGATATAAGTGACTCCTTGGGGCACCAGGTGGGAGAGCTGGCAAGAGACTGAGTTTCTTTCAGACAGCCTATGATGAGTGTGAGGTTCTGTAAAGGACCTGCTACATGACCATGATGGGCTGCAGATAAAATGATCTTAGTTTTTACATAAATTTCTGTGACAGAAAAAGTGGAACATATCTATAAAAAAAACCACCACAAGAAAAACACTGGTTAGGTAATAGAAAAAAGTATAGTATTCAACATAATTATATTAACAAAGATTTCACCAATACATCATAATTCACATATAAATAACCTCACCATGATCACATTCTGCCAGATGTTGCATGATTACAACTCTGAATTATGAAATGTACCAGAAACAATATTCCAGTCTGTACAT